TATTAGTTTGAGTGAAGAGATTTAAAATCATTATCTGACAGCTTGGTTTGATAGATGAGTGGATAGATTCTACAACAAAGGCTGTTTCTCAAAGGGACATTTTCTATTTCATTTATTTTCTTCACCAATCATAGCACACAAAGTGATCATTAAAGCCAGCATTCAAAATCACCAAAGTGCAGGTTAGCTCCTATAGTTTCTCTGGGAAGCTCTGTGGTATACATTCAGTAGTTACAGGATTTTTTTTTCTAAATACCACTGTCACCACCGTTAAAACTGAAGTAAAGTCCTACAGCTCAAGCGTCTCATGTCGGATCATTTGGTAGAATAATTTCAATATGCTTTGCATATTAAATGTCACATAATGAGCTATTTATACTGTAACACAGGATGTAACATACTCATGACTGTGTAACTTTATGTGGTCCAATTAGGACATACTAAAAGACATACTGAACACAAGATCCAGTGTCACAGAGTAATCACCAGCTATCAACAAAGTTTCAGTAGCAGTGAGGGAACCACCTCCTGTTTCTAACATAAATACATCAACATTGACTTTAACTGATTACTATCCATTTTAAAAGGGACTGTACAGTACTATTCTATCATGAAAATACTTTTAACCATCTGTGGCACAGGTGGCCACACAGGAAGGTAGTGTCTTTATTGAGTCACTTGGGTTGCTTTATGTCTACTCATGTGAGTTAAAACATCAGATTTCTGATTTTGTAAAAGATAGATATGAGTGAATAAACATTTTTATTTTCTTTCAGGTACATGGCCATCATCCACCCTCTGAAGCCCCGCCTCTCCTCCACCTCTACAAAGGTTGTGATTGCCTTGATTTGGATTGTAGCAATCTCACTGGCTTTCCCCCAGTGCTACTACAGCGTGACGAGATTTTACTACCCCAGAACTGTGTGCATGGTCGATTGGCCTGATGATTATGGAGGAACACATCAGCTAAGGTGAAGGAATAAGATTATTAGAAAGACAGACAAAGGACTGTTTGAGACCTTGTGCACAATTTACCAATGACTTACCAACACTTGCAATTGCAGGCTTGATAACTTTTATAAAGGGTTAAATGGGGTTGGTTGAAAACTAAAGTAAGCTGTGTTGGAACAGGATATATATCAACCGAAGGAGTCCCCAAAAAATGTGGGCTCACAACCTCAAAATATCTGACACCATTAAGCAATTATGTATTAGTCATTCAGGTTAGTAAACCCTTTCTAAGTATGCCACATTTTTAAGTATACAAATCTAAACAAGAATGAAAGAGTCATGTAAAGAAAGACTGTCTTTCTCTCTCTGCAGTTACCAGTTTGCAGTGATTTTGCTGATCTACTTGTTCCCTCTGCTGGTGATGTTGGTGACCTACACTTTAGTTGGCCAATCGCTGTGGGGAGGGCACATCCCAGGAGAGGCGACAGAACATTACCACAGCCAGATTACAGCGAAGAGAAAGGTCACACACTTTTATTTTCCCCCCACACTATTATCATAATGCTCAGATAAACTGGGAAGCGAAATTTAGTTTAGTTGAACTGAACCATGTGATATTACACTGGAATTTAAATATATTAATACATTGGCTTGCTTTTCCTCTCTCTGTGATTTTCTTGTAGGTGGTGAAGATGATGGTTGTCGTGGTGGTGACCTTTGCCCTGTGCTGGTTACCTTACCACATCTACTTCATACTGGGATCATTTAACAGAGACATTTATAAACAACATTACATTCAACAGGTTAGCCACTCCCTTTTTTTTTAAATAATCTTTTTGTTAATGAAGTAAATCTGTAACATTTAACACTAAATAAGACAATTCTCCATTTCATTTTAAAGAAAGAAATAACAAACACACAAGAAAGAAATGTATAAGTAAAAGAAAATAGCAAAAGAAAAAAAAATGAAAAAGGAAGATACAGTGAATGTAAAAGTGTTAACAAAATAAAGAAAATAATAACAACCTTAGCAGACCAAACCTTCTAGGTTTCCCATCCTTCCCAACCACCTTACATATCCTAATAACATTCCGGGAAAACAATTTTACCATGTTATGTTTCATAGCATTTCAAAACAATAAGACACAGAATTACTTTCTGCATGTTATTAATTCATTTTAGTCTGATTTATGTATTTATTGGGCATCATGTTTCCTTTGATTGTCAGGTGTATCTGGCCATATTCTGGTTGGCGATGAGTTCGACTATGTATAATCCTATAATTTACTGCTGTCTAAACCAAAGGTAAAAGACATTTTCATACCCAAAAACTCCTCAGCTTCCAATAGCCTATCCCAAAACTCAAGGAAACCAATTCTCTTCTCTTCCTGAAGGTTTCGTGCTGGTTTCCGTCATGCCTTCGCTTGGTGTCCCTTCGTCAAAGTGTCAGAGGAGGACAAGATGGAACTGCAGCACACACACACCTTCAGAGTCACCATGACACGCAGCCACCGCAATGACAGTACATACGCGCGCGCCTCCATCAAGACAAACAACGCCTTCAACACAAGCATGGCTGTCAGCACTGAGCTGAACCCAGAGAGAGATGCCTGCATGCAGCTTAAAAAACAGACATCATCAAAAATATACAGCACACACCACAAACATGTGGCGAAGAGGCCAGATGATACAAAATCCCCGGCTGCCAAACTTATGCAGAGCACACACTGACTACTGAAACAAATGGGAAGGTAACAAGGTTTCTCTATAGTCACAAGAGAGCTGATAATAAAAAGACTGTAACAAATAAAGATAGAGGAGAGCCTGCCAACTGCCAACCAGAGTTGAGCAAACTATCTACATGGGAAACCTTGAAGAAACGTTCATTGTAATGTGACAATCAAACTGATGGATGGTCTGCTGCTATAGCCAAAGTGAGCATGGGCATGTGAACATTTTGTTAGAAATGGAAGAAACTACAGGACACAAGAGAAGCTTATTCTTGTATTGTCATTATTTGCTGCTGGGAAAGACTGAAGATAAATCCGTCCATCATTCATTTATTTTACTTGACCCCATTCTTTTACATCTCTTCTTCCATCATTGACATTTTTCTTCTACTCCTTTGGAGACTAGCCATGAACTGTGGATGTTTCTATGTAACTGGAGGTTTTATCTGTGGTTACTGATTTTCAAGAGGCGGATGAACAGTCCACTGGCATCAGCACCAAGCCTTAATATTGTTGTTTATGTGTGTTTTCAAAACAAAACAAAGGCTGTTTCTCAAAGGGACATTTTCTATTTCACTTATTTTCTTCACCAATCATAGCACACAAAGTGATCATTAAAGCCAGCATTAAAAATAAGCACCTATAGTTTGTCTGGGAAGCTCTGTGGTATACATTCAGTAGTTACAGGATTTATATTTCTAAATACCACTGTCACCACCGTTAAAACTGAAGTAACTTTAACTGCAGTCATACAGCTCAAGTGTCTTATGTTGGATCATTTGGTAGAATAATAAGTCTAATTTCAATGTGCTGCGCATACTAAATGTCACATAATGAGCTACTGTAACACAGGATGTAACATACTCATGACTGTGTAACTTTATGTGGTCCAATTAGGACATACTAAAAGACATACTGAACACAAGATCCAGTGTCACAGAGGAATCACCAGCTATCAACAAAGTTTCAGTAGCAGTGAGGGAACCACCTCCTGTAGATACATCAACACTGACTTTAACTGATTGCTAGACATTTTAAAAGGGACTGTACAGTACTATTCCTTTATCTTATCAGCCACATAGTGTGCAGTGTACATTTGAGTCCAGATTAAAAAGCAAAACTGCTGAATCTGATGTGAAATGTAATACTGTCAAGTATTTAGTATATTAATGTAAAATATGTTGATGAAGTGGAAATGTAAATATGGGAATTACACACATACAGTTTGTTCATGATGTTGTAAATATGTGTAGCTTCTTCGCATTAACATATCAGTATGTAGAGAAAACCTTTTGATTCCTAGCAACATTTTGACTTAAAATACACACAGTGAAATCGTGAAACATCTGTATTTGTTGTCAAGCAGGATAGTTGTTTGTGGCCTAAATAAAAGTCAACAGTATGTTTTAATAAATGTGACATTATTGTGTGTGTGTGTGTGTGTGTGTGTGTGTGTGTGTGTAATGGTTCCTCAGTTGTACTCTAGACATGTAATACAGTTACAGAGGGGTCAGAAGTCAGGTGCAGTACAGTATGCAGTCTTGGAGCTGGTGCAGATTTAGTGTCTTGTTAAAGGACACTTCAGAAGGCCTGAGGCTGTCAGACATGTGGGCTTGAGGTTACGTTCCTTTTGAGGAGTGGCCTCTAAACATTAAACACTAAACAGAAGTTATATGTAATGTACATGAATGCAAAATGTGTGGCGCAAAAAAACTACAACCTCAGATTGACGCAGGTTTGTCTTTATTTAGTGACTGATTGACAGCGTTGGACAGATACAGTCTGGGTTTGGAGGACAGAAGCAAAGAGACTGAAGTGTCTACGTGATGTAGGGCTGGCTTTCAGACTGACTACTTTGGGGAAAATCTAAAGGTAGGGTAGCTAGACCTGCCGGAAGGGCTGGCCTCTTTATCCTGGCAGTTTGTGTAGTACATAGGAATGGAAATTCAACTTGCTTGCAATGTCATTGCTAGAATGTGATTAGATTTGTGCTAATCTGACCCCACAGAATTGTAACTGGGGTTAGGAAAGTTGGCAGTAAAATATATTGTAGCATCTCAAAGATCCATCCCTGTATCAGAATTGCCAATGACCAGACACAGTACCCTGTTCTGACCCTGATTTTAAAAGCATTTTACTTCCAAAAAAGAAAATATGTCTCAGAAGAATGCCAGTGATTAAAATCCATCAGCCTTTCAATGAGGGTCCTTAATAATAATGTGATAGTTTGACTGCATGAACTGTGTTACTTGAATGAGCCATACAGTAGTTCACTGAAACACACTCCTGAGCCTTTAAGAGCTCATGGAGTACAGTGAGTATTGGGATAAGCTTTATTTCTAAAACGTTGGCCATTGTTGTTCCACTGGCATCCATGATAGCACCAGATTCCTGTTTCATGGCTGTTGCAAAGTAATTGATATTTGTGTCATTGTGATGATGAGGGTAGCCAGCACCTCTGAAGACAAACAAAAACTTAACAGCTGTGATTAGTACCAACAACAGGATTTCTACATAGTAAAATACAGGTCCTCTTTGGACATATTTTACAGTAGAGTACAATAGAGTAGAATATGATTGCCGTCATAAATAAGACCAAATCTGCACATTCAATAAGCATGCAGGATGACATTCTCTGCAGATCAAGCATGGTAGAAGTCCCTCTTTTGTGATGCCTCTGCCCTCGTGTCGTTTATTAAATCCTCCACTACAGGACAAGTACCAGCTGAGGGGACTTTGACGATGGTTTCCTTTGTGTGCCTCGTTATTGCAACAGAATTGTTTAACATCCCCCCCAATATAAAAATAAAATAAATAGCAACAATGTATGTATAAGATTGTATTCTATCTGGGTAAGATATTAAAAACGTTGAAGCAAAAATATTCCCTTTGATCACATTATACATTTATATAATAACCTCATATCCCAGTGAGTAGCATCTAATGAACATGTTGCCAGGATAAATGTTTTTCTGCAGTGCTTTTGGAAATTGCCTGCACCTGTTGTACTTGGTGTATTGCAACAGACTGCAATATCAAAGGAATCCTCTAGATGGTGACGATTAAGAGCTCATGAGAGCCTTACAGGAGCATGTGGACTTTTTTTCCTGCCCTGCACATTTTTACAGGAGCTGAATGCTGTTTTCACTTTATCATATGTTTAACCTCAGACAAAACCTTTAACAACATGGGTGTTGTTAAATGGTTAATCAAACACAATCTAACTCCAACATAGTTCTCTAGACAGCTGATAGACTCTCTGTTACTTAACACAGCAAAGAAAGCTATCTCCTCTCTTTGTCATGAACATGGGCTATAGCAGCTACTGGACTGTGATACTTCAACTGGACTGGATTGATTCAAGAAACAAAAGGGAAAGAACAGAGGGCTGGAGATAACAAATTGAGAGAGCGGGAAAGTTGGGAGATAACAGTGAGACTGCAGAGATATTTTCTATTTATTGTTCAGCTTCTGTCTCAGCCGGCAGCCCACAGCTGTGATGAGTGCAGCTCCTTTCCCACTGCCGTCCTCTGACAGCAGGAAGTTGACGTTACACTTAGGCGCCAGTTCATTTACTGTCTGGTGCATGATACCAGAGAAACTAGAAAGAGACAAAATATTTCACATAATGTTAAACAGTGGCGTGATGGACATTGTACCAACTAGAAAAAAGAGACAGTTTAAAACATAACTTTGAGAGGAGGGGGGATTTGGCTTGAAAACTACAGTGAGTGAGATCAACAGTTAACCAGTTAAACAACAGTCTGAGCAAGGGATCTGGTTTCAGGTTTCTGCTTATGCTAGCTTAGGTTATGTTAGGAACTTTGTCTATGGCGTGTGCTAAAACTAACATGACCCAATTTAATAACACTCTAAATTATTGATGTTTGAGGTGACACTGGCATAAAAGAAAGGAGATGGAGTGAGAGAGTTTATTTAACCACAGGTGTCGATCTTGTGTTGTGTAGCTGTCAACACATTCTGTAGTTTAGTGTGTCAATAACTAAAACATGATCGGCATGTGATAATGCATGACATACTGTACATGCCATGAACCTGTCTGGCAAAATCTAAATGAATAAATCACACCACTGTTTGTTTAGATGATTATTTAACACTTAATGGATCATTCGTTTATGGACATTTACTCAGGGTTACGTTTATTGATATGACCACTGTGATCATCTGTAGTAATTTTCTGCCGAATGCTTTGGGAGGTTCAACTACAACAGTTTAAAAAGTAGAAAATAAGGTCACTTGTCTGTTGAGCTATAATGGCCTGCAGCTCTGCTCATGATTGTTGTCCACAACTGGTGGAGCTTTGTTTGTGTTTGCTTGCCTTCAGCCTAGTAATTTCCATTACTGAAATACAGTTGTGAATTAAACTGTCAATGTGTTCTTTGCTGTACTACAATATAAAACAAGTAATTTAGACTGGTCATCCTGATTAACTGAACTCACTGTGGATGTAGTTTGTAGAGTGTCCCGTCCACCCCTACAGTGATGTTCAGATGGTCCAGTCCTCTGTTCTCTCTGATCTTATCGACCACAGCCGCCATTCCTGCCCCACACAGCTGAGCTGCACGATGTGACACTGCTCCACATACCTGTGTGACAATCAAAACCATTATCATTATTGCAACATTTATCAGACTGTACCTGTAAAAGTTTGATAAGCAAGAAAATATATCACTCCACAAAAGTTGAAGATAAATGACTTAACATGTCTGTTTTTTTTTTTTTGGTTTGTTTTTAAATAGTCCATATGTTTACCCCTTTCACAAGACAAGCATGATAGCAATGTATTGTGGGTCTCAGACTCTTTCATAGTGTCCACCATCCACTATATACAGTGAGTTGCACCTTTAATGGGTTCCCCTACTGTAGCTAAAAATAATGCAATAGTCTAATATAGCAGTCCTGCAATAAATCCTACCGTGATGAAGATTTTAATGTCCAGTTTTTGTTGCAGTTGTTTTACAGACGTGCTAGTTTTACTGTGTTTTCATTTTGGAGTTACTGACAGGTGTCTGTTATTTAGTCCAATTCATTTATATCAATAGAGTACAGGCTAAAACACAGAAACACCTCTCTGAATAACAATACAATCCAACAGCAGCACAAACTAAATCCTCCAAAATGATCATAAAATTAGATCAACATCTGTAAAACAAACTTCATGAAGGTAAGATTTATTATAGGACTGTTGTATTAGACTGCATTTGTTTTAGCTAGGTGTACCTAATAAACTGACCACTGTGAATGTATATTTTCTCCAAACACCATCTGAGGTTCAAAAATGGTCAAAAGTTTGTGTTAACAACTGCCCTTGATGTATTATAAAGGATTGAGCGGGAGACTGGATTGGCTACTAAACATACTTGTGCGCTACTGTTTTCTTTAATATAATACTTTGTTATACACATATGTATCTCACTTTTCCCATTACCTGTTTGACTATGATACTGTCATCACAGGTGCTGTCCAGCCCCAAGTGCTGCAGGATGGATCTCACCTGCAGCAAAGCCAGTCTGTCACTGGAGAAATACAAAAGGTATAAAGACTGAGCCATTGAAGCAGAAATTCAAGTACAGAAAGATAAGAACATCGGTAGCCTAACAGTGAAACAAGCAATTTATTTTGCAGATGCTAGTCTATAAGGGAAGCTAATAAAGTGCAATCAAAAGTCACTGATGTTGTCACTTTGACAGCTTGGCAAGAGTAGAGACAAGAGAGTTTACCTCTCTATCTGTGAGAGGAACTTTGTTTCGAAGATGCCTCTGGTCTTCAGTGTTTCTGAAATCTGTCCTCTGAACAGGAATCCTCTCTTGGTCATATCTATCAGGATGTTCCGTACAATTTCGCCAAGATACATGCCGCTGCACATTTTCTCATATCTGAAAAAATAAATGCAAGAACAAAGCATACACATAAATAGTTGATGTGTATCAACACTTATTGGATGTCTATAAAGGATATCAGTCCAGAATATAAAGGGTTAATATGCTAACAGAACGTGGACGTAATATGAGTGTGTGTGCGTGTGTGGGGGTGGGGGATATTAACCTTTGTTTGCCTGGATTGAGGGAGAAGTCATCCACAATACGGTCGTACTCCGTTCTGATGTCGTCAAGGCATCCGTTGTCTCCGAAAGCCCCCCACTCCATGTTGACACACATCTGGCCCTCATCCCCCTCTATCATCTCAACATTCCTCATCTCCTCCATATAACATGCATTGCTGCCAGTGCCTATAATCAGACAGACACTTTAGATGGATAGAGCACCGAAAACATATCAAAGAGAGTCAATATAAGGTAAACTAACCAGCAATCAGTCCGATCTCACAGGTGGGCTCTTCATAGGCACAGGTCATCATGGTTCCCACGGTATCATTCACTATGGCCACAACATCCAGGTCAAATTCCTAGGAGGAGAAACATAACTGTAGTTCACCTCCTGGCACTGCTGAAGGTGGCCCCTGAACCCCCAGTCGCTCGGTGCACCGTACCAAGTGGCAGCCACCTTGCTCTGACACCTCTCCATGTGTTGTTGCTATAGGTCCTGTTTGTGCATGTGTGTATTTCTGATGTAAAATACTAACATTAACAACAGAGTGAAAACACTGAGTATGTCTTCTTTGTGCCATGTTTAACTGAATGATGCTGCTCCTCATATCCTACCTCTCTCCTCTTAATGGCCTCCCTCAACAGTCCCACCACATCTTCTCCTTCACAGTCTGTTGCCTTGAAGCCCTTGGTCCATGTCACCAGGATGCCCTACACACACACACACACACACACACACACACACACACACGTAAATGGTCATATCTTGCATAGGAATGTGAGAATTCGATGGTCACACTTCTGTTCTTGGGTTAATGAAACACAGTGTTGTCAAGCTTACAACAAAGCCCCTTGAAAAGTTGACATTTTGGAATCATTGTGGGTTCTCTCTTCATGCTGGTAATATGTGTGCTTATCAGTGTGCCCATTTTGCAAAATCAGCAGGTTCAGTTTTGAGACGCAGCTGATTTAAGACTGGGGGAAGAGTAAAGGACAAAAGTATATCAGAAAGGAAGGAAGATTTGTGCACTCACCGCGTCCAGGCTGGTCTGTTTGCAGGGAAATGAGAAGGTGAAGCCCAGAGGAAGACGAGTGTTCTTCATTCCCATGTAGTCCAGGAAGTCACTGATACACTGCACAATGTGATCAAACAACTGGAAGAAAGATAAGACAATATATGAAACTGCAGCGCTGTAATTTACATATTTTAGAGGTTTCATTATAGAGAACTGTTATATAATTTGACTGGTCTGCACGCAGTACAGACCTGTGACATAGAAAGGCGGAATTTGGTGGACACCTGTTAAAAATGTTGTTCATGTGTGTCCCTTACTTAACCAGGCAAGGGACTTCATATTTCCCCTAATGGGCTGAAGGGGCAGTTGTTCTAAGACAGTAAATCAGCACTGCAGCATTATGGATTAAGCCTTTTAAGCCTAACAACTTCTGATCACAGCCCCGGTCACTTGTCACAGGACATATTTTGAACATGTTATGAGGTGTGGCCAGAAGAGCAACATACTTGACTTGATATAGAGCCAGCAATTTTTATTCCATATTTAATACAGGATTAATACAGGGTTGGGCTAAATGCCACTTCAGTAGAAGTTACTGAGGTCAGAGAGACTATGGCTATGGTGTCCAAAATCATGCTCTCCTTCACTAAACACTTCACTAATTGTAAATTACTTTTTACTGATGCACTGTGAAATTATTAGCGCCCACTACATAGGGTATAGTGGACCTTGGCTGACAACACTACCATTTCGAGGGCACACAGTATACTGGAATGTACAGTGAACACCACACACAGACCATGGACCCATACCATATCTCGTTACTTCTGCTGCCTAGACTTTTCTGGCTAATGTCAGGATTTAAACCGCTCATTTAAAAAAGGTCCTGGACACCCACCAGGTTTTCTGACTTACTTTGGCCTATTAGACTTATATCATTCAAGTTGTGTGATATCACTAAACTTTACATACTAACAAAAATGATAAAACATGCATGTTGTTTCACAGGAGAGAGGGTGTCTTGAAAAGAGGTTTAATTAGCCAAAAATAAGTTCAACACCTGTGGAATCACAATAAAATTAGAACCATTTGAGAAAGTGAGAATGAAAAGGCCAAAGCTGACAGACTGGATTAGCCTCAGCCAGTGCACAAGAGATAAGCTACATTTAAAGACTGTCAACTCAACTCTCAGTCTATCTCTAACCTATCAACCTGCTTCTATCCTATTACGTTAACCCCCAACCTCTTCCCAACTACCCTAATCTTTACCACCAAGGTAACAGGAAGTTAAGTTCAAAGTTTCTCACCCATCCTTCTGACTCTCTCAAATGCACCGCCTGCATTACTTCAGTCAGCATAACACAGATTAACAGCTGAAAAGACTGACGGATCTCACCTCCTCTCCTGTGCCCTGCATCACTTCTAGAGGAATAGCGTAGATCTTGTTGTGCATCTCCACTGATCTCCTCTTGCCAGAGCGAATCTTGACCAACAAAACTCTGAAGTTGGTTCCTCCTAAATCCAAAGCCAGGAAATCACCATGCTCTGAGTGGCAAGATGGGCAAACAGACAGAGAGACAGATAAATAATAAATAAAACAGCTGGTCTAAGCATGTCAAACACAGGAACATTTCAGAAATATGCCTTGTACAGTGCTCCAAAAGAATAGCTGTGGACGTCAATGTGAAAATCCAAATACATGTCTGCATTTGAAAAACATTTTCCATATCATTCATATGCTAAATCTGTAATTGTATTTTAGTAACCTTTGTTAAACCATTGTTTCTTTGCTTAGTTGTGTTCGCTTCCTCTAAAATGTTACTGTTGTCGTCATTAACCACGTTTGTTTTTTTACTAAAAACAATATGTGTGTTGAATTATGAAAACTTTAAAATAAAGTAAGCACATGTTTTAAATAGGACCAAAAGCGACAACAGCATTTTGGGTATGAGCAATAATAGATGAGAGGATGAGATGTCACATGGTGTGAACCAGCTGTAATGAACTGCCAGGCTGCTGAGTAATGAACTATCAACTAGTATCTCTTCAAAACATACCTAAAGTCACAAGTTGCATGCTTGAATATTTATGTGCATGCATGTATGTGTGTGTGCGCAATACCTGAGCCATCAGGAGTGCTTTGTACAAAGGTTGGCAGCATTCTGACAGTAGCAGAGTCCTGAGTACTCTTTGAAAGGCCATTTTGGATCTCTGTCCTCATTCGCTTCTTTACCTGGAGAAATTAAGGATATCTTAAATAGTGAAGTAACACAAAGTTAAACATGCGCGCACGCACACACACACACACACACACACACACACTCTACAGTATCTAGCTTTCTCTGTCTTCACCTCCAGCAGCTGTTCTGTCGTCAGGCGGAACTCGGACAGTGTTTGGGCAATTTCTCGTGAATGTTCGGCGAGTCGGTAGGCCACAGCGGTCACCATTGCTGCTCCTTTTCCACTGCCGCTCTCTGATAAGAGGAATCGAACATCAGAGTCTGGGACCAAACGACGGACTGTCTTATGAAGACGGCGGGCATATCTGAAATACACATATGAGAGTTTTAATAAGAAAAGTGGTCTCCTTTGGGCACACAACATAGTGATAAAGAAGGGTTAAAATTCACAAAATATTGTACAATATACAGTAAGTCACCTCCAAACACCAATTATGTAGAAATGTGAGGAGCAATGAGATGCATACTATCAAAAAAGGTAATGACACACATTTAAGAGTCCAATAGAGCAAGTAATATAAACACAAATGCACACATTTTTGTATCATCTTTAATCTTAAAGTCACTCACTGTGGGTGCATCTTGTATAGAGACCCATCGATGCCTACAGTGGTTCGGAGTCGTGCCACGCCTTTGTTCTCTTTTAGCCTCATTAGGATGCCTGCCAGCGTGGCAGCTATCAGGTTGGCAGAGCGGAAAGACACAATGGCACAAACCTAAAGAAGGAGGGGAGGAGGGGAAGTTCAAGCAGCACATCCAGAAGCACCTTTTGGCTAAAGAAGCTCAGATCTCAGATATGCTGAAAGAGACGTGCGGTTTGTTTGAAAGCACTACATCAAATACTTGAATAGACTTTGAACATACATTATTTCCTTAATTTAAGTGGCATCTTTGTAAAGAGGAATTCACAAGATTCAAGTGCTATTTCAGCAACAATACATACATGCTGCACAGCGATACAGTCGTCAGCTGAGGGCTCCACACCAAGTCTGGTTAAAACTTCTCTGGCCCTGGACAACCCCTCCTTACTCCTAAACAGGAAAGACAGAAGCTGATTAAATTGTATATATTTCAAGCCAAAGTATTAGGATTTAGTTTCATGTAACTCCTTAATTAAAACAATGCATTGTATTTAAATTTAGTAGGACTTACTTCTCTATGGCAGAGATGTGTTTGGTCTCAATCTTGCCCTTAGTGAGCAGCTCAGGGGTGATCCTTCCCTCAAACAGCTGGCCCTCTCTGGCCATCTTCACCAGGATGAGACGGACCAGCTCCCCCATGTACATACCACTGACCATCTTCTCAAATCTACAACAGAGAAATGAGAGGTGGTTAAAACAAACGCTCGGAAACATCTGGTTAAATATTCTGAGCTTTGGATAAATATCACTGGACCAAATATTCTCCAACAGATAACTGTTCCCTAATAGTTTAAGAGGACACTAATTGAGTGTTTAGTCTTTTCTACTTTTATAAATGACTTTTCTAATTCAAAAGAAGCATTTAATGTGCCGATGACATGAATAAACATCGCCAAATCATGTTAATCTTTCCCTCTACTTAGAACAATAGACAGCTCAGTGGAGTAACAGACAGCTAATCATCTGCTAATTCTGCTGCTTCCTCACAGCTTACAAAGGATGAATGAGGCTGTAATAGTTTCAGGTTGACATACAGCTGTTTGCCGGGGTTGAGAGAGCCTCGGTCAATCTCCCTGTCAAACTCTGTCCTGATGTCTTCGAGCCTGCCGTCGTCTCCGAAGGCTCCCCACTCAGTGTTCACACACATCCTGCCCTCGTCTCCCTCCACCAGGTCAATGTGACGCAGCTCCTCCATGTAGCACGCATTGGTGCCTGTTCCTAAACACAGAAAAATACATTTCCTTACAGTTTAATCTCATTTCTATTCTACTTAAACTGACTATCAAGTGCAAGGAAATAATGTGTGCACAGTTTATTTTATATTATTGTACCTCTACCTGTATTTCTATTCTGCCTCTTTGATTGGTTCGGAGAGTATAGAATTCCATTTTACTTGTCAAATACACTGTAATTGATTGGTACCCAAACTATTCAGATAGACATTGTTGTAGTACCGATAATAATGCCGACTTCACAGCGCTGGTCATCGAAACCACAGGTCATCATCGTTCCCACAGTATCATTCACTACTGCCATGATGTCAGCCTCATAGTCCTGAAACAAATGAAAGCACACACACGTTCGTATGTTTACTGTCATCTGTGCAATTCTGCATCCCTGTTTGAATTCAAGTGTGGCAGCAAATAAATGCAAATGAGACAAAAGATAAGACTCACTCCACGTTTCTTAATGGCTTTGTTGAGCAGCTGAACAACGTCCATTCCCTCCACTCCACTAGCCTTGAAACGCTTTGTCCATGTTAGCAGAACGCCCTGGAGACCAACAGAGAGGGAAGTGAGGAAAGGAAGGAGACGGATTGGATGCTTAATGGAGACTTTGGCAGAGCCTGCCACATTATTGTGGATCATATCTCATAATGTAAATTGATTGCATGATAATCATCAGATATTTGCGTGAAAGCTAATAAATGGACATTGTTTTGTGTCGCAAAGGCAAACTGTACTGCTTGAGAGCCTTTATCAGTTGATCAAATAGTCGATATTTTATATTTTGTCTTACCTCATCTAGTTTGGTCTGCTGGCAGGGGAAGGAGAAGGTAAATCCAACTGGAAGTTTCTTGTCTTTGATGTTGTGCTTTTCCATGAAGTCACCGAGACACTCTGCTACATGGTCAAACAGCTGGAACAGAGGTGGAAAGAGGGAGAGGTTGGCTCAGGTTGAGCTGAAGAGAGTGCGTGTGCGTGTGTGTATTATCCTACTCTTGTTCCGCTGCCGTGAATGATGTCCTCTGGTGTGTCATAGATTTCACTCTCCATCTGAACGGTCTGTTTCTTCTCATGGCTGACTTTGACACGGAGGATTCTGAAGTTACTGCCTCCCAAATCCAACGCGATGAAGTCTCCCTTTTCTGTTGAGACAGAGAGGGTGGGGACAGACAGGAAGAGGAAAGAGAGAGAGGGAGAAATATCAATTAGCAGCTAGGTATTATTGATTGATTTAACATGTATTTACTAATAAAGACCATGCCAATAGGTATGGATTTGAAATAATTTTTTATGTATTAGTGTTGGAGGAGAGCTGAAATGAAGTAGAAGGGATGGATTAAGGGTCCTGACAGAGTGTGGGACTGCCAGTAATCAGGGTGGATGGAAAGGACTTTGAAGGCATTGGTGATGTATACTGCATGGAGAAGTCTGAGCTAGGCTATTGATGCTTGTGCCAGTGGAGCCGTGGGGGAGGGATGAGAGGTCTATGATGAATCTCTTTTTACCTGAATATTTGCTAGTAGCTACGCAAATTGATTCTAAATGTAGGGAAAGGTGGGCTGAAAAATGGGCCAATCATGAATGCTTCTTTAACTGACTGATCAAGGGGTTTAGTGACTGAGTCGGGCTATGTAGGAGGAATCTGACTTAACCTGCCAACACAAGCTGCGCTTAAATGAATTATGAGGACTAGTTGGTCTGGTGTACAGAAGGAGCAGGTGATACTTTAGTGTGTTCGAGTCGTCTTTGTTCCCAAAACAAGTTATGAAATGTCATGAAAAGCCACATTATCTTGTTTCTGAGTAAAGGTTATAATAATAGAAACATTTTTACCTTTACCAAGCAACATAATTTCACATTATTATGATCTTGGACTGCAACATTTTGTGCAGATCAGAATGCGAAAGGTCAGTGGTGCAAACTAATCTATCTGAAAGGAATGAAAATGTAGCAAAGATGAGTAAAACAATTCTTTGATAGTGGCAGTGTTTCTGTGAACAACAGGGTGGTTTGCAATCATGTTTTTAAAATAATGAGAAAACAAAAATATTTCTTTAGATTTCCATTATTTTAAATTCTCTGTTGGTCAGTAGGAACACAGAGAAGCGAGCCATGGAATAACGCTGTAATTGTTATTTTCCATCTGCACAGATTTGACAATATAGTAAGTAATGAAACGGTCTGTGTTCAACACAGTACACGGTTCCTGCTCTCTAACCAGACAGAATAATAATCCCATAATTCAGACTAAATATAGTGTGTTCAGTCATTTATAACTTTAGGACTCTGTCTTTTATTTGTCAGTCTTTTCTAACAATGCTAGAGAGAGAGAGAGACAGACAGGCAGAGAGAAAGAGAGAGTTTTGCCTCCATTTACATTCAGCTCACTAAAGGTCGTAAAATCTATCTCAGTTAAAATGGACAGACACTGCCCCCCAAAGTACAGCGCGTACCAAATTCATGTGAATTGCAAGGGCAGAACAACTGCAGTGAATTAGGATTAGTCAGCATGGGTCAGACAATGATATAATGACAGGGCGAGAGAGGGGATGACAATTTTAAGTGCTAATGTGTCACTAAACAAACAGTAGTTTTGCCTTTTGAGTTCAGGTTAGATTAATGCAAGCGAGAGGTCTGAAGTGAAAGGTATGTTCAGTATGGTCACTAGGGGTGGAAAAAAAAAAAAAAAAAATCGATACAACATAGTATCGTGATATTTGCCATGGCAATACTATATCGATACACGGACGCCAAGTATCGATATTTTATTATATAAATTGCAGATGGGAGTTTTAACTTTTTGGTACTAAAATAATAAAATCTATTGCTTTTTAGTCCACTAGAAAACTTAACAGGACCATATAGAGGACTGAAAAAGTTATATGAACAAACAAGAGAAATGTATCTTTTTAGATAAACAGAGGTTGACAAAGTTTGACTTTAGGGACCTAATTGGAAGTTGGAAAAGGTAATAAATTGCAATATATCTCAATATATTTATAATCGCAATAAAATCAAATCGCAACATAAATATCGTGATAATATTGTATCGTGGGGCCTCTGGTGATTCCCACCCCTAATGGTCACCCATTTTCGACAAGATTAGCATTTCATCTGCATAACACAATTATCCATTAGCAAGATTTTGTCTTTCAGCATGGTATTGTGTTCTCAAACCAGAAAAACTAATTAAAATGTTATCATCAACAACTGACTCAAGTGGTTCTAAATCTAATCTAACTACGCACGCTGTAGTGGTTAGTACTGTTGGCTCACAGCTAAAATACCCTTGGTTTAAATCACATTACCAGCGCCTTGCATGTTTACTCTGGGATCACATCTTGTTTTGTCCTACATGCCAATCAGGTCAACTGGAGAGATGTGAGTGACTTCCTGCTCCGGTGTTTCTCTGGGACTGAGCCAAGCATCTATTAAAAACACAAACTGACTACACGAGTCAGTCTAATATCGTGTATAGTAAAATATTTTGAATGTAACCCTACTCAGACCCGAGTTGTATTTGTCAAAACACATTTTATTAAAAATAAAATATAGTTCATCCTGTCTCTGTTGTGTCAATACCTTTATCATTGTTGATGAAGCAGAAGCAGAAGCAGACCACATGCAGTGAAAGGCCAAGAAAGAGGTGAAGAAATTATGAATTTGTCCTAAATTACATTACATTAAAGTCATTTTCCTAAATCCTTTTCGTAAATCATTTCTCCAAATTTTGGTCAAGTGCTCCATGTTGAACACTGCCTGACCCTTGTTTGCTCATTCACACAGTGATAAGATGGTTTTGATACTGATTTCAAATTAGATCCAATTAATCCAACAATGGTCACAATAAGGTTCAGATGTACTAACCTGAACCATCAGGGATTGATTGCACAAATGTTGGCAGCATCTTCAGTGTAGCTGTGGGGTTTGTGTCCCGTCCCAGTCCTTGGACCAGCTCTCTCCGAAACCGCTGCATAATGTCCCGTAATGTCTCATCAGAGAAACGCATGGAGTACAAGTACTTATCAATCTGAAATTAAACATTGGACAAAAGATCAGAATAAGCATACATCTTCTTAATCTCAACCATTAATCATTGTCACACCCTGTGGGGTCATGTGTGGGCGTGGCCATACTCTATCCCTTGCAGGTGAAGCGCGGAGACTGATTGTAGTAACTCTGGGCACCTGGGCTAATTGCCCTGTAGAGTATTTGTAACAACTTATTCAAATTTTTAGAGTTGATGCTGCTGGGCTGAGGTGACAGACCTCTCTGCTAACTTACTACCCTCCACAGGTTTCACCTTTGCCTTGGTTTCTGGACATGCTGTTTCAGTAGTAGTTAGTGTTTCTTGTACATTACAACCCCCATACCCACATTTTCCATGCTTCCATCAACCTGCCCTGACATGGCTGAAACCAATGTTCATACCCCATACTTTATCACCTTTACTTTGGCACAAGTCTTAATATGGCTTATTTTGAGTTAAATAAATATATTTTGTTAAACGTTTACCATGGTGTGTCTCCTTTTTGTTGTGGCCTTCTGAGCCAGGTCATAACATCATCAAGTGGCTACTTCAGATTATGGAAGTAACTGAGATTTACTGGATTTGCTAATGACATAGCCTTTATTTTCTGTCATGATGATGCACTGAATATGACTACCCATCCTATAAAGTTCTTATCATCCATGGAGATAATCCACTCCCTTTAATGAATGAAATAAAACTAAATACATCCCAGCCTTGCTTAACGCAAAAATGAATCATAAAATATTTTTTTATGTTGCTTCATTGCAAAATATCTGGCCAGTTCTTTGATTACCCCTATCATACTGTGGTCATATTGTACAGTCAATTTCTAATGAACAGCATCACAAGTGTGACACACAGCGAGACCAAGAAGTACAGGATACTCACTCAGCGCTGTTATCAGAGCAGTATTGCACAAAAGGGTGTTCCTTGTGACTTTATTATGGGTATGACATGATAGTAAGTTGGAGAGTCTCTGACAAATAAATAACATGGGGAAACGTCAGAAAGTGACTGTCTCGTCACTTTAAGAGTAACAGTTGTACCAAATTCACAGATAAAGCACAGCTAGGTGTGCTTTTAAGCATTTATCAGCACGTCTGGACATACTGTATATCTTGCCTGTTGAAACTGCCCACTGTGTAAACTGCTACAAGATACAGCACACAACAGCCTGAGCTGTCTGGACTTTCAGGAAGAGGATGTTAAACAGTCCGGATGAAATCCGTTGTTGCACCACACACTATTATGAAGCAAAGAGTGTGAAAATATTACAGACACATAACTCTGGTTAAATGCCATGTTCAGTATGATTTACGACCCATAACTAGATTACCAACAGTCAGCTTCATACCAGTGACTCCCAGAATATGTGTGATACGTATAAAATACTCACAGGGTCAGCCCACTTCACATGATTCAATATTCACGCACAAACAATGCTTGTGTTTACTGTATTTACTATTATTACTCATTATAACAGGCATCAGATAGGAATGTTGTAACTTCCTTTTTAAGGAGTCACACATTAACAGTATTTCCTATACAGCTCTGGTGGTTCAGGACAATGCCAGTTTGGGTGTGAGTGTACTTCCAGGAAGGAACTTAGATCTGATAGACACAGAAATGGATTTTTTGTAGAAAAAATATACACAGATTTTGATGTGACAACCGTGTGCTAGAGCAACTGAGTAGGATGAGACACTGTAATGGTTAATTTGGCTTTCATCATATATTAAATGGGCACTGAAAAGTACATTAATGACCTGCTGTTTAACCATGTCGAATAGTATAAACAAGTTGTAACTCAACATGGATGAAGTGTCACATACATGAGAACAGCACTTTCCAACTGGTAACTACTCTGTAGGTGCTACATTCTTTATATTCTGTCTAAATGTGGAGTCTGGGATGAAAGCTCATTAGCATGTGCGCTTGTAACACAGGAGCCCACAGCTGAGTAAATGTAACCTCTCACCTTCACAAGCTCAGTAAAATACATTCTCAGTGTTAACCCCGTTCCGTTTTAGTTTACAAACGGAGAATTAAAGGCTGTGTCACCCGATCTCCAAACCACGTTTTGTCAAGAAAACACACGTGAAATGACTCAAACCTACACACAAACAGCTGTTGTATGTTATTATAAAGATACCAATTATAAAGACAAATCTGTGTGAAAGAATGGATTAGCACACTCAGGTAGCAGGGGTTGTCTGAGCTACAGAGAAAGCTGGAAGGAGTAAAAAGTGTTTTGCATGAAAAAGTAGGCCTAGCTCTGCCATTGGCTGGATGTGGATGTCGAGTCAGCCGACTCTGACAGATATTTGCCATGCTAGATATCTGGCAGACGTCGGCGATGCGTCAGAAATGTGTCGGGGAGCCGCTGAATGCGTCTTTATTTAGTTCAAAGACTGGCGACCGCCGATCCACCACTGATTTAGCCCGGATCACAGCCTGATGGTCGCCGAGCTCGCTGAGCAAAATCGTGTAGTGTGAACTAGGCTTAAATTAATGCTAATGCAGAAAATATACTATATTAAAAAACAACACTATTTTTTAATCAAAACAAGACACTATTTGCCTGAAAAATAGTATACAGTGAGGAAAATAAGTATTTGAACACCCTGCTATTTTGCAAGTTCTCCCACTTAGAAATCATGGAGGGGTCTGAAATTGTCATCGTAGGTGCATGTCCACTGTGAGAGACATAATCTAAAAAAAATAAAATAATAAATCCAGAAATCACAATGTATGATTTTTTAAACTATTTGTATGATACAGCTGCAAATAAGTATTTGAACACCTGAGAAAATCAATGTTAATATTTGGTACAGTAGCCTTTGTTTGCAATTACAGAGGTCAAACGTTTTTCACCAGGTTTGCACACACTGCAGGAGGGATTTTGGCCCACTCCTCCACACAGATCTTCTCTAGATCAGTCAGGTTTCTGGGCTGTCGCTGAGAAACAGAGTTTGAGCTCCCTCCAAAGATTCTCTATTGGGTTTAGGTCTGGAGACTGGCTAGGCCAGGCCAGAACCTTGATATGCTTCTTACAGAGCCGCTCCTTGGTTATCCTGGCTGTGTGCTTCGGGTCATTGTCATGTTGGAAGACCCAGCCTCGACCCATCTTCAATGCTCTAACTGAGGGAAGGAGGTTGTTCCCCAAAATCTCGCAATACATGGCCCTGGTCATCCTCTCCTTAATACAGTGCAGTTTTTCTCCCATAACTCCTCTGGATCATCCAAATGGTCATTGGCAAACTGAAGACGGGCCTTGACATGTGCTGGTTTAAGCAGGGGAACCTTCCGTGCCATGCGTGATTTCAAACCATGACGTCTTAGTGTATTACCAACAGTAACCTTGGAAACGGTGGTCCCAGCTCTTTTCAGGTCATTGACCAGCTCCTCCCGTGTAGTTCTGAGCTGATTTCTCACCTTTCTTAGGATCATTGAGACCCCACGAGGTGAGATCTTCCATAGAGCCCCAGTCCGAGGGAGATTGACAGTCAGGTTTAGCTTCTTCCATTTTCTAATGATTGCTCCAACAGTGGACCTTTTTTCACCAAGCTGCTTGGCAATTTCCCCGTAGCCCTTTCCAGCCTTGTGGAGGTGTACAATTTTGTCTCTAGTGTCTTTGGACAGCTCTTTGGTCTTGGCCATGTTAGTAGTTGGATTCTTACTGATTGTATGGGGTGGGCAGGTGTCTTTATGCAGCTAACGACCTCAAACAGGTGCATCTAATTTAGGATAATAAATGGAGTGGAGGTGGACATTTTGAAGGCAGACTAACAGGTCTTTGAGAGTCAGAATTCTAGCTGATAGACAGGTGTTCAAATACTTATTTGCAGCTGTATCATACAAATAAATAGTTAAAAAAATCATACATTGTGATTTCTGGATTTTTTTTTTTAGATTATGTCTCTCACAGTGGACATGCAATTACGATGACAATTTCAGACCCCTCCATGATTTCTAAGTGGGAGAACTTGCAAAATAGCAGGGTGTTCAAATACTTATTTTCCTCACTGTATATCTCAACATTTTATGAAAGATAACTGAAAGAGTAAATTGCCCTCTTTTAATAAAACTTGCCAAGTTGTCCAACGGGAGGGATGCTCGCGAGTCTGAACCTTGGAAATCTTTCCCATCATTACCTTTCATCCCACATGATGTCAACGAGGCCGAAAGGGGAACTCCACTGATGTTCAAAAAGAAAGAAGTGAGTTTACCAGACCATTTCTGCTTGAGACTAGCGGCCACATTAGCTGCTATTAGCATAACAAAACCGAATCTCTGACTGATCTGTTGACTGATCTGTTGGTGGCAAAGCTGCATATTTGGGTAATGTAGGTGGCGGATTTTCACAAGAAAGACGAATACAAAGAGGCAATATCTCTGGTTGTGCAGCATCAAATTTGATACTTTTTTAAAACTGCCCTCATGAGTCAGACAATGTTAAAGAAGTGCAAAGCTAAATCATTGGAGAACTCTTTTGGCAAACATTTTAACCATAAAATTTATAGTTGATATACCATATAAAGACTTAATCATTTAGAGTCTTTGTACTAAACTGAGGTACAGAAATCTGTTTAACCTCCTTTAAACAGATTTTATCTTTTTTTAAATCTCAGTGAATTAAGAAATTAAGAATGCATTAGTAACATGCAGTTTTAGTGTCATGACTCTAGCTGTCAGATCCCTTCAGGTTCTGGAAACTCTATGGCCAAAAAAATTACAATTGTATAACCACTCATACATGATGTTTTCAGTTATGGCATGAGCGTTCTTGACTGTGTTCTCTGTGAACTCACTAGTTAATGTACAGAGGGGTATATGTGCATTCTGCAAAGTAACTTAGAGTCTTATTCAAATGGCCTGGTTGACATAAGAATGTGTTCCTAATCAGCTAATTGAATGAGAATGCATTCTTAGCTAGGTTATTTAAATAACAATGTGTTCCAGGCTTACCAACTGGTCCTGGTGTTACAAAGGGGAGGATTAGAGTAGGCAGGTATTGTCCACATTTCTCCACATCAAACTAAGACCAATCCACTAAACCCAGACAAAATTCAGTTTCTGCTGCAGGAAAGATATTAACATCTATGACTCAGCACTCTGCAGCTAGAAACCATTCCTAAGCACTTTACTATGGCGGGGGATCAGCTGATACATCGCTCATATAAATATTTGCTGTGGGCTTTGGAGGGAAAATACCGCACGCAATGACTTTGATTCATCATCATCTTTCATACGAAACTTCATTTTCTCAGTTTAAAAATTCAATGTTTTGACCAAAATAGGAGTTTCCAGTTTTTCCACAAATGTTACGCAAAGTGACATTCCCTGGTGATGTGACTTGGCCTCAGTGTTATGTGAGTCTATAAAAGCCATGTTTTCCCCATAACACACCTCTGACACACAACTTTCTCTGACACCGCCTGGAGCTTGGTTCAAGTTACTGGAAGAGGTCACATGCTCTCTCTCTCTGCCTCTCCTTCTCTCCCCGTTTTATTCCACCCTTTCTCCTTCTACCTCCCCTTTCTGTTTGCATTCCTCCTCTCAACAATGCCCTGTTCCCCTCGTCACTGCGAGGTGATTCGAGGAAGCACTGAAACCGGACTCCATAGTGTATGTACGTGTGCGTGATTGTGCGCACACAGCCTCAACCATGTGGAAAAATACTGTCCCCTACACTGCCGTCTCCTGGACCTTCCCATCTCCCAAACACACACACACACACACTGAAACACTGCTGTAGATGCCGTTAACAGCCCACAGGAGTACAGTCAAGGACACTGCAGTGGATTCAGTGAAGTAGAGACGCACTCAGCTGACTGAGGCTCTTTGCAGAGACACAGTTTGAAAAACACATCAGTGATGAGATTATTTGTATACTTTATTGTCCCTTACAGTAGCTTAAATCCTGGGCTGCATGTTTCATAACTGCACAGCTAGAGAAGTTGTTCAGGACCAGACAAACCCTGCTCGTTGAAAAGCTATGCAGTAATTACACACCTGTCACAGTGTGTGGGCGTATTTGTGTGTAAGCCTTCTTCTCCTGTCACCTGTGGTCACATGGTTCAAAGCTGGCCTATTTTAGGGAGGCCGGGAGAGGAAGAGAGCAGGAGTAAAGAGGGAGGGGAAAGAGGAATGTGTTGTCATTTCCTTGCTGCTGATAAATGTCTTTTACCTTTACAGAGGCTGATTTTACTGTGGCACAATTGAGAATCTGAGCTTTGTGTATTGCCTTGTGCAAATAAAGATGACTCCATTTAACTGAAGTGAAACAACAGATAGAGACAAAGAGGAAAATGTAGGAAGAAAGAGTGATAGCTGCAACATTTTCTATTTAAACAGGAAAATGAGGAGTATTTGATGCAGAATCTGCGGTTGGCGATGATGTGTGACATCATCAGGGGGTGACCTTGAAAGGGACTCTGCACCATATGAAAACAAGTTGAGACATGACATAAATGGATCTGAGAGTATTTTAACTTCTTTTTACTCAGTTGGATGGAGCTTGGCAACATTATTTTATGGCACATCCAAGAAGTACTGGAAAGTGTTGAGTATGAGTTCTATGGGAAAGCTCAGTTCCTTCTCTAAGGGCGATAAAACTGGTCCAGCAGTTTTATAACCTAAGATGCACAGTTGGGTTTGCATTGCTGCTACTTTCCGCTTTTAAGTTGGTATTTCTCTTTATTGGAGAACAAGCGCTTTCTGAGAAGTGAAAGCGTAGGTATCATTTTACAACAAGAACGTAAAACAATCACATCTGCTCTTTCTTGACAAGTTCTACCATCTCATCTCTGCTCGTCTACCCTTTCATCATCGCTTCTTACTTCCTGTCTCTTCCTCTTAGCCACACCTCTCTAAACTTACATCATGGCACCAATCACACGCCCGTGTGTCGTGTCATTTTACACATCTTACTGCACAAACACACCCCTGTGGTGTTTGTCACGTCTCACTGAGCCAGGTTGATTTAAATCTTACTATAAAAACTAATCACAGTGATTGCGAAATGGCTACAACAGTCTGTCTTGCCCTTCTTTTCCAACATACTCTATGTTTTATTCACTTCCTTAAAGAGATGTATGACATAAGAAAGACTTCCTGACATGTGCTGTACTGGAAAACACCAGTTTCACAGCAAAGTTATGATGATGGCAGAGGGAGTAAACTCAGTGACCTCTACAAACACATGCTCTCCTATCCTATCCTCCCTGACCACCATCCTGTCTTCTCAAACTCTGCTTTTTCTTCATACTGGTCTCTCTTGATCATATAAAACAGAATGTCAAAGACTGAGGCAGAAGAAAGAAATAACTCACCTTTTTAACCTGGTCATCCTTGAGTTCAGTGAAGTAATAGGCTAGTAGCTGGGCCGCAATCATCCTGGTCTCCTTTCTCTCTCACACACACATGCAGACTCACACTCTCTCTCTTTCTCTCACACACGTTCACCTACAGTCAGATGGAGAAAAATTCTAAATAAAAAAGAAGAACTCAGACTCTGCTCTGCCTCTACTTCTTATATGCAGTCTATCGCGCGCCACAAGGGATATAAAAATATCTTGAGTCCAATCTGGTGTGGTTTAAAATAGATAGAGCTGCTTCATGTGCGGCTAAGGCTCTAGAGCTCTTCTTTCTCTCTCTCTGAGCATGTGAGAGAAGCCAGGAAGCATGAGTGAGGCAGCAAGTTTAGCTGCAGGAGGCAGAGAAAGAGAGAAACAGGGAGGGACAGAACGGACCCTGCCCACTATCTCTGAGCTCATTGGTTAGAGAGTGTGAGTGGCCATGGGGGGGGGGTAAATACCACATCCTCTTTTCTGCCATTGGTTTGCCTGCTGACGCCTTGGAGGCAAACTTGGAGATGGAGGAGATAGAAAGGGGGGGGGAGGGGGACTGCCTAATTAGGGAGGAGGAAGAAGTGAAGAGGGAGGGGGAGGGGGAGGTATAGAAAGAAACAGAGGGAAGTAAGGTGAGGAGAGAATTTGGGTTTTACGGTTTCAAGGAAGTTATAAAGTTACATACTGTTGACACAGTTGTTATATTAGTCAAAGCACTCATAGTCAGAGCTTTTCATTTAATGATCATTTGACTTAGAAGGAGGGAAAACTGCAGGTCTATCCTTTTTTGAGCCTAGTTTACTTTAAGGAATGGGGGAAAGGTTTTATACTAGGGCTGACCCAGAATAGGATCCTTGTTCGATCCTTGTTCGACATTCGAAGCTTCGCAGTGAAACAAGGATCATGCCATTTTGGCGATACGGGGGTGCTCAACGTCCGATTTTACATAGAACTACCAGTTTTCTCCCAATAAGTTAATATACAGCCTATTACAATATACATTTCAACATTTAATGCTGTAAATAAACATGTAAAAAGAATAAAACTTCCAATAAATGTTTTTAAAGTGAGTGAATAAATCCAAAATTGTAACCCTAACCCTGGGTCGTCAGTGAGACCCAGCTTCACTGGTGAGTTGTCCGCACCTTGCGGGACTTTCGGATTTATCATTGTTTGATGAACCAAACAAAGTATATTTTATCATTTTTAAATAGCCGGCTGCTTGACATAGACCCACGAGGAACTACGACGTGCGTGTAGTTGTCGGCAGCACGGCATGCACACAAAACTCTGCACAAGATTGGTGAATGGCAGGCGAGAGAGAGATAGAGAGAGAAAAGGGTCTCAGCCTCAGTTTAGCTGGAAATATACAGTGTAAGCTGAATGAATAGAGACTTCAGCTCTGCAGCTTCTCCTCTCTAAGAGGTCAGGAGACCTTCAGTGGAGGAAGTTATATGATGCCGTTCCAGCGACACAATAGGTCGCTTCTGTCTTTACTCTCTGTATAAAGACTTCATTAAATATGACATTTGCTGTATGAAATAGTATCTCTGCTTATTTTAACTAACTGTTTTGTTTCATGAAAGTGTGTTCCCTTTCATGATGTTTGCCAGTGTGTGTTTGTCTTGCCCCTACTCTTGCCTGTCCCTCGGCATTTGTGTCTCTGTGTTTCTCTCACTCTTTCTATGTCACTTTTTTTTTTGCCTTTCAGCCTCAGATAAGACATGAAGCTCTCTGGTGTTCTGTAGGGCCTTTTGTTGGTTGGCAAATTTTGTGCCTAATGTCATTAATGGATTACAATCTGTGTATTTGGGCATGCAGGTTTAGATTTCTATGTTATGTCTCTGTAGGTGAAGGCCTATGTTTTAATAGTTGGGTTTCCTGTCAAAAGTCAACAAACATGGATGAATATGTACATTTAAAAGCAACCTTCTTGTCATATAATGTTTTGTAAAATCTTGTGTTGCACCGTCTAAAGGCTATTGTATTTTATTACCACAGGTGTGCTAATTGAAAATTCATGAGACCGCCTTCCTGCATGTGAGACTATTTGCACAGTGTGGGTCTGTGTGTATTGACTAAAAGCTTAGACAATAAACTAGGTGTTTGGAATAGACATCCGTTTACAGACCTTTGACTTACTTTTATTTGTCTTTCCACCTCTTAAAAGTGCAGAGTGAACCCAAAAGCTGCCCACTCCACTTGCCTTACTGTAATTTAATAGATAAAGGCACTCACTCACACTCACTCCCTCCCTCCCTCCCTCCACCATCAGTCTTTCCACACTAGTCATTACACACATATGCGCAGTAGATCGGTTGGTGCCATGGTAGCGCTAGTCGGCGCGCGGACAGGTCCTAAGTCGACCCATCAGACAGCCACTTCCTCTGGCTCCACTGTCCTTTCAGACAGACATGACATCAACTACAACAGCTGTGTGTTGTCTGGACTCACTAGAGAACAACCACAGACACAGTGGAACCATAATCCTTTATACACTCAGTATGTGGGCTGTATGTAGAGTTAATTCAATACAATACCGTATCAGAAGGTAGAAAGGATGCAAAGTGAGTAGCTAGGACCAGTCCAAACTCTGCTGAAGTGTCCTCCATAAAATTTTGCACAGATGATGCTTTGTAACTCTGACTTCTGAATTAATTATGGAAATGTTTAAGCAAAAACGAGGTTTAACTAAACCAAAAAGTGACACTAATTTGGCCTTTTTTTCTGATTTATTCCCTTGTTTTATACAGTCTATGGTTCTTCATTCCTGAGAGTGCCATTTGAACCTTGTGTGCTGCTTACACAAAACACAAACTGCCATGGCTGCACAGAAAGTAGGGCTATTGAGAACTGAAAATAAATAGATGTAACATCATGTCATCTACACTTAAATCATAAAAACATCACCTTTCTAAGAGTTATCATGTTGAAAGTCCTCTTTTTGTTTTAACAATGTAAAGGAAACATTTTGGTAATTAAAGTCCATGAAGCCCGCTCTTAAACCTGTGATTGGTTCATTTTGCTACAGTGCAGGTCAGTTCTCTTAGTCACTCTATTAATATATATATTAAACCATTTGCGTATGGTTTTACTGTTGAATACTATCAAGATAGGAACTTTTTCGAGCAACATGCCACATAAAACTTACCACCAGCATCTATTTGGTTTTCTCTGACAGGCTCAAAATGCTGAAAAGGCTTTATAGAAACTACTAGAATGTCAGTGCAACAACAGAAAGAGCAAAATCAAAATGTCTGCTGTGAGAAAGTCTGTTCTGCCGCTCTTTCTCTTTTTAGTCTGTCTAAATTATTGGGCTATAACAATTAGCCACCTGTTAGCATGTCTCTTATTGTAAAGATCACAGGAAACTGACCACATTGCTAGCTTAATTGACACCACAGATTAATATATACAACCTATCAGTAGTCATCCTGCTCCTGCTACAGGCTGATATGACAGTAAGTCATCCAGTAGTACAGCGCAGTACAGAAAACTAGCTGCCAACAAGTATGATGCATCTCTGCAGCTTTATGCTACAAAACTCTGTTTCAAGCTCTCTGGTTTAAATTCACCTACATGCTTGTGCTCCTCCTTCACTTCATTGTCCATTTTCAGAATATGTTTGCAGCCCTTTTCTACAGATTCATGCCATTTATCATTACTCACCCCTCCAGCAAACAATTTCACGCTTAATCCCACATCTTCACCACTACAAATAATCCAGATCCTGACAGTATTGTCCAGATTATTATACTATCTGGATAATTATATTACCTTTATTGATAAAGTTTTCCCATGATCAGATGGAGCCGGCATCCAGTTTATGTCTCCACAATGTTTCGGAGCATTCTGGTGTCTCATTTTTCCACTGTCCACTCCATACAGAGGTTCAAATCCTGACTCCAAGCTTCGATTCATTCTATCTTTGGAGACAATAAATGGGTGTCAAATAAAAACAAAAGCCTGTGTTCCCCACAAAAATACTCTATGTTAAAAAAAAACAGCACAATCCTACCAGAAAAGGGTCAGAGGGCGTCCTTTTATCGGTCCTGAAGAACCAGCGTCTCAACTCTGCCCATCTACTGGTGGCCATTATTTCTGTGTTTGTCTGTGCATGTGTGTGTCAAAGCTCTTATTGTCTGTTTAAGACACACACACACACACACACACACACACACACACACACACACACACACACACACACACACACACACACACACACACACACACACACACACACACACACACACACACACACACACACACACACAGAAAGTGAATGCATAATAAGACTCACACACCTTGCTCCCTGAGGAATGCCCATTCAGGGAGACGTTGAACAATGCGAGGGGCATTTGAGCTTATTCAAACTAAATTAAAAAAGGGATGTACAGTAAAGATGTATAAAATGTAAAACATAGAGGCGGAAGTTGATAAGACAAACAGAGATACAAAGAGACATTAAAGGAAACAGAGGACGAGGACAAAAGTGACAGACTGTCACTCAGTTCACTGATCCTTGCTGGAGGAGCTGCAGATTCAGCAGCCCAGCTGTGTGTGTGTGTAGCTACAAGCTGCAGAGTCAGTGCATGTGTGGTTTAACTGAATCTACTAGGTCACTACTAGGACAGTGTGGGATTACCGTGTGTGTGTGTGTGTGTGTGTGTGTATGAGACATAGCCCTCAGCTGGCAGCATTCTAACATGTTAATCCCTGAAAGATTAGCTACTATTTCACTCCTGTTAGCACGCGTTCTTTCTCAATAAATATCCTTCCTCTTTTCTTTAATCCTTTCTACATTGTTTCCTCTCATCCCTCTTTCTTTCTTGGTGCATAGTTTTTGCTTTGTATTATTTTCTGTATTCCTTGCGCTGTGCTGCTTTCTCCCTGCCTTCATCTTCAACACATCATCTAATCTATCATGAATGGATTAGCATAAATACACTGATCGTTGCACTGCTCAATCCCTGTCCAGCATTGCCAAATCAGTAGTTTGAGATTATAATGCAACTTGTACACACAAACACTAATTGCAATTTTTGCCTGAAAGGATTCATAAAAAAAAGTCTAGCATCATATTCACAAAGATATACTGTATGCTTGACCTCATAATACAAGTCCTTAGACTGAAATTTTAGCAATGATACTAAAATCCTCCATCTTCATTCATTCTGCCCGTGCTGTTATATCAGCATGTACCGAACAGAGAAACAGATAAACACACAAGCCAATGGGCAAGGATCCAGCAAAACAGATAAAGCACACAGACAGAATCATCCAAAATTGCACAGATGTACAGAGAGAGAGCAGACAGACGGACGGTCACAAGGACAGAGTCAGTCCAGAATGACAGAACAGAGCACTGGTTGTTATTATTGTTGGGAAATGTGGTCAGCGGCATTCCAATCCTCCTCCTGCCCTTCATCAATACTGAGATACTGCTGACTAACACACTCACACACACACACACACACACACACACACACACAATCATCATCTTTTCTACAAACATTGGTATTAACAAAATGTATGTTTTTTTGTGAATTTGTTGTGTAGGAATCCTTTGGTCGAAGATGAGAAACCATATTACTGATACAAATTACTGCATTGTAAAAGTTTAATAGAAAGTTTCAAACACAGTAGATTAGCAGACACACTAATGAACACAGCAAGAATGATAATGATCTACAAATGTGCAATTTTTTGTTTTTTATAATTGGACTACTTTTGTATAATGTTCATCCTTTACATCTATTTGGCTATTGGTAAAAATTATTATTAATACAAAACAGCTATGGGAACACATTGTAAGGAGGCAGTGTGTATGAATGTTTGGGCAGAAGAGACTGTTCAGTTCTTATCCTCAGAGAATCGCACCATGCATGAATGGCATCATGACATTTTGACAAATGAAGCTTTTTATCAGTCCTAGAATTTGCAGTTGCCATGGTGAATGTTATGACTGCATATACAGTATCATTTTTGTTTGGTCTCACATACAGTGCTAACCTTGAGTAGTTTACAGGGTGTGATCTTTGATGAATGTTCTTTCTTTTGCCCTGGTATCAAAGGCAGAGAGTCTAATCAGTGCATGGCAAACACTGGCATGTGACCGTGCAGCTGTGGGTGTGACACTGTTCCCACAGCAGACCCAGGAACTGATTGAAAAGGCTTAAAGTGTGTAGTCCATCTCTTATACAGAGACAACAAAAGAAGGGCTTTTCAAGGGAGAAATAAGAAATTTTTCTCAAAGCATTGAATTGGGTTGATAAGCTTTAACCTTAAGTTTTTGTAAAAAATTTATCACCTGGAATCCAGTTATATATAAGTATATAATATTATTGGGTACCAGAATTTAATCCCTGGCAGCACAAATGGCTGTGTTCGTGGGTGGGAAGCCTGTGTGGGATCCTGCAGTGAAAACCTCTGTGTGTGCTATGCCCTTCAGGTGATGCTCCTTGCTGTCAGGTGAAAAGAAGCTGTAGGTGAATCCATTTGTATGTGAGGCGACTGCAGCTCTCTCAGACCAACAGTGACAAAACAGCAGGGCAGAGGGAATAGGGCGTTCCCAATTATGAGAAAAGTGAAAGAAAAAACTTTGGTAAATCCTTTTTTTCCAGTCATGTCAGTGTTCATCTCTATTGCTTCTGTCTGGCCACAGCTGTGATGAGGGCAGCACCCTTCCCGCTGCCTTCCTCTGATGGCAGGAAAGTCACGTTACACTGAGGTGCCAAAACTCTGGCAGTCTCTTTGAGGACTTCAGAGAAACTAGAAACAGCAGCAGTAGAGGAAAAAACTGTTTAGTTTTTATAAAGCAATTTTGAAGAATCAAAATAAAGGGTAAAAGAGTCAAATTAGCCCTTGAATCTAATCACCAACAACAAAACATTTATTTGAGGTGAATAATTTTTAAGTAGTTCTGCAGCACACCATGAATAAACAAATAAAAATAACTCACTGCGGATGTTGTTTGTAGAGCGCCCCGTCCACCCCTACAGTGATGTTCAGATGGTCCAGTCCTCGGTTCTCTCTGATTTTGTCAACCACAGCTGCCATTCCTGCCCCACACAGCTGACCCGCACGACGTGACACAGCTCCACATACCTGTATAACAATCAAAACCATTATCATTATTGCAACACATTGCAGACTGTTGGTGCCACAGTTTGCTGAGGCAAACAATATATATCTCTGCCCAGCCAGTAGGAGAAAATCATCTTGGATCCCAAAGTGAGGTTGCAACAGAACATGATTTTCTGGGCATTGTATTGTGTCAAAGTTTAAACTCTTAACCTCTCTCTCTGCCATTTGAGACAAGAAATATGCCATAGGGTTGCAGATTTTAGCTGTTGTCCACAAGGTTTAACATTAATGATGGCTGCATTGCATTAGGTGTGCCAGTTCCAGGGCCCTGCAGGCTTACTAGCATGGCTTAACGATACAGCTTAAATGGAGTAGAGTGATAATTAATGTTATCAATTAGACCTTTCCTGCACTGACTAAAGCATATGCTGTGAAAATGACTACTGCTCCCATATATACTGTATGATATTTGATATAGACTTAAGTCTTGAATATAAAACTAAACTTGTTAAATGTAGTCTGACAGTCTGTGAGAGTACTAAAATAGATTGATCAGTAATCATTCATTCATGTCTAAAGACAATCTCTTAAAAGTATCTATGCTGGTTCTGCACGTCAGCAAGACTATAACAAAACACAAAATTGTACTGAAGTAGATTATGTTCTTAAAATTGCATTTTACTTCTAAAAACACACTGGTCTAAAAGTTGGTTAAAAGTCTGAAACAGTATGATAAATGACATAGCATTTCTCATCATTTCCTATCTTCTACCTCTTTGACTATGATGCTGTCATCACAGGTGCTGTCAAGCCCCAGCTGTTGGAGAATAGATCTGACCTGCAGTAGGGCCAGGCGGTCACTAGGGGGAGACAACACAGTTACACGCATTACAGTAAAATACAGCCACACATTTACATACACACTTACACATGACTGGAGGAATTATTCACAGAATAAAAAGGCATCATTTAATAGCGGATACATTTTAAAACTTAAAAATGTATCTGAAAAAGACATTTAAACATTTAAACATTTACACACACACACACACACAGCTTCTCCCACCTCTCTATTTGGGACAGATATTTGGTTTGGAATATTCCAGGTGTTTTTAAAGCTTCAGTGACATGTCCTCTGAACAGCAGACCTCCTCTGGTTAGATCTAGCAACACCTGACGGACAACTTCTCCTAAATACATCCCACTGGTCAGCTTTTCAAACCTGCACACTCACAAAGACACATATCAGTATCATTTGTTCCACTAAGACTGTGGCCTCCGGATCAAGTTACAGGTTACTGAAAAGCTCAGTAGATCAGAATACACAATGGAGCATAAGACACATACCTGAGCACACAACTACATGATTAACACACATTTCAGAGAAGCATTTAAAATTACAAGAATATCCACATATATATGCAAAGGTGAGTTACGGGGAGGAAATTCTGAGACACACACAGAAGGATAAATCACACTTAGCTGATCAAACATAAATTCAAACACGGTGAGTGTTTCTAACCTTTGTTTTCCAGGGTTTATTGAGTTTTGGTTCACCTCAATGTCATAAGGTGTGATGATGTCATCCAGAGAGCCATCATCACCCAACCCTCCCCACTCTGTGTTTATACACATCTTTTGTATCTCAGCATCCCCCTTCTTTTTCTCTACTGCTGTCCTATCACCCTGCTGGGAGCAGAAAATGAAGGGGGTTGAGTTATCGTCCAAAAATTTATTCAACTTTAAATCCCCACAGCTGACTGACAAAGTAAACACTGGTCTTCTTCTACCTTATCGTCTTCTCCTTCAAGCATGCCCTCTTCTCTTTCCGTTTTTCCTTTCTTTCGTTCAGTCTTCTCAATGTTCTTCACCTCCTCCATGTAACAAACATTTGTACCAGTTCCTGTGTAACAGAATCACATGGTGGATTTCATTACAATTACAATTACCATAAAGGTAATTTGAAATATGCAATGCTTGTCAAATTCAGTAACTTGTGTTTGGAGACAAAATCCAGTGCGCCTAGCAACATATTTGTGTCGAACAGTCGCACTGAAGACACACACAATCATGCATTGTTATTACAGTATTTATGAGGACCCTGATTCGTGTTTTTTCTAGCCTCAAATTGTGAAATTAACCACCATAACTACGACCCTGATCACAAGCCTAAACATAATACCAGCCTTAATTCAAATACAAAGACCTATGCCTCAAAAAGCAAACTAAGTTAGTGTCGTCTAGCTAAAATGCCACAAAGAAAATGTAAACACCCATACCAGCAATTAGTCCAATTTCACACTGAGGATCTTCATAAGCACAGCTCATCATGGTCCCAACTGTGTCATTTACTACTGCTACGATGTCCAAGTCAAATTCCTATAGGGATAAACATACGTGTGTACACAAATAAACAGAAGTTAATTATTGGCGATACTGTTTCATACAATTATGCTTTTATGTAAAAGTTGAGTTCTTAAGGACAGATTTTTAGTACATGACTCAACATCCAAGAAAATGTACTGTAGCCTAAGGGTTTCTACAGCATATAAGAATTTAGTGGCAAAGTCTGGATGTCCGATCATTTGTTATCAAAGTCTACATTCATTTTGTGCTGAAAGATATTTGTGCATCTTACAGGCTCATTGTTCCAACTTGTACATACACAAATAGGTACAAAAATAAGGAAGACTGCAGAATTATTCCTTCACCTCATATGACAAAACCCAGGTACTCATTATAAAACTCTGTTCTGTTGTATTTTGACTCACATTGCGTCTCTTGATGGCCTCCCTCAGCATGCTAACAACATCTTGTCCTTCACAGTCCGTGGCCTTGAAGCCTTTGGTCCAGCTCACCAGTGTGCCCTACAGAACATAACAAGGTTGAACCCCTATAACCGAACTCAAGCCCAAGACGTTCACACTATGATGTCCACGCTTACCGTGTCGATAGCTGTCTGCTCGCAGGGGAAAGAGAAGGTGAAGCCTGCAGGAAGATGAGCGTTCTTCATCCCCATGTAGTCCAGGAAGTCACTAACACACTGCGCTATATGATCAAACAACTAGAGAAAAAAGAGTTTTTTAATGAAAACTTCTGACTTTTCTAGACAGCATTGCATGTAATGTGCTTCTATCCTAAGTAATTAAAATGCTTATTAACTCGTCATCAATATTTCACAAATCAAGTCCCAGTTTCATGCGGCCTGTCTGCCTACCACTGCTGGTCTTTCTGTCTGTATTATTTAGTACTAACACTGTCCTACCTCTTCTCCAGTGCCCTGCATTATCTCCAGTGGTATGGTGTAGATCTTATGGTAAACTCGAGAGTTCTGTTGCAGACCTTTTTTAAAGTTCACCAGTAACACTCTGAAGTTTGTTCCTCCCAGATCCAATGCAAGGTACTTTCCATGCTCTGGAAAAACACCAAAAAACAAGTGGTGACCTGTTCTTACAGAATTCAGCTCTATTTATTCATCCTCTCCTGAGCAATAATAAAAAAAACAACAGCTTGAATTTGGTCATTATGTGTTTCATTTTAGTTTCTGACCTGTGCCATCAGGTGTGTGGTACACAAAAGAAGGCAGCATCTTGATGGCAGAGGGGGCTTTACTCTTCAGCCCAGCTTCCAGCCCCGTCCTCATCCTGGCCTTGACAAGCTGGAGCTGCTCTTGGCTCAGTCTGAACGGAGACAGCGTCTCATCCACCTGGAATACAAGGAGAAGAGATGGTGTACTGTATATCAGATATGGTAGCATTAATGAGTACAATGTGTACACATACTACATACAGTACAGAAACGCACACAGCATCCTAACCTGTTGCCTTTGTGATGCCAGTCGTTGGGCCACTGCTGTTACCAAGGCAGCTCCTTTGCTGCTGCCGCTGTCGGAGAGGACAAATCTGACATGGCACTCGGGAAGCAACCGACGCACTACTTTATGAAGACGTTTTGGATACCTGTAACGGAGAGAGTCTAATATTGAAGCTCTATTGGTAATCTGTACCAGCTGCAACAACATCATTTCTTTTGTCATTTTTGCACATTGATTTAACAAACAAGAATCTATAAATATATTTTAATTAGATACCTACAAATGTATTTTAAATGGTCATAACAATGGGACTAGATAGATAGATAGATAGATAGATATTGATGTGCCTCACTGGCATATGAATTTGATTGTTGGTGAATATTTCCATAATAACTTACTGTGGGTGAGTCTTGTACACAGTTCCATCCACACCTACAGTGATTCTTAATGTCCTTAAATTCCGGTTTTGCTTAATTCGACTCAGGATGGCAGCCAGTCCAGCAGCCACCAGATTTGAGGACCTGAAGGACACTATGGTGCTGACATGTTGAACAGCAACACAGTCATCAGATGATGGGGTCAAATCAAGGTCCATGAGAATGTTTCTGGTGTTCTTCAGACCATTTTTGTACCTGAAATAGACATGTATGGTATCACTTGTTTTTACAAAAAGAGTGTGACACAGACCTAGACAATTTAAGGTAACTTACTCCTCCATGGCTGCAACATGTGCAGTAGTTATTTTCCCTTTAGTCTTCAGGGCCTCAGACACATGTCCATCAAACAGCAGTCCAAGTTTAGCCATCTTTAATACAACCAGCCTCACTATCTCACCCAGATACATCCCACTGACCATCTTCTCAAAGCTACAATTAGGAATAAATAGTGGAAACACAGAAACAAAGGGGTTTAAAGTTGATCTTTTGTCATACATGCAGTGCCTTATCATCCCAGATCGAAGACAAAGCTGCTTTCCTCACATTTGTTTTCCAGGGTTGTTGGAAGATGCGTCGACATCCCTGTCAAAGTCAGTGATGTAATCATTCAGAGCCCCGTCATCTCCAAATGCTCCCCACTCAGTGTTCACACACATCCTGCCTTCATCTCCCTCCACCAGGTCAATGTGACGCAGCCCCTCCATGTAGCATGCATTGGTGCCTGTACCTAAACACACACACATACAGGATTTCCTTGCCTTTATATTTATACAGCTACAACAAACTTGTACTGGTTACATTGGTACTTTTCTACATTTAAGTAATCACAAGATGTGAAACCTAAACTAACACCTAAACTAACACTAAATCCTAAAGTAACTATAATTAAGCCTTTATTCAAATTTTAATACTTAATATCACAAATCCTATCCTTCAACTATTAACCTAGTTTGAGAATATGTCTCCACTCAAAAAAGTCTTGTCAAAATGGTTCAAACACAAAAATACAAAATAAAGCACACACGTGCATTAAGACAGGAAACCATTAGAGGGAGCAACAATATAACATAAGGTGTACAGCAACCTTTTTTCAAACAGTACTTGATATTTGATCTGCACTGTATACAGTGTATCTTTAGGAAAGACTTGGTTCATTTTTGAGTTGCAAGTCTTTTGTTTTGTTGGATTGCACTGTATTGTCAGGTGTTCCTTTTTTGTTCCGTGTACAGTACATGTACACATAAGTGTGGAAGACAAAACTGACGACGAAACAGTCAACAAAATGTTTCTATGTACATGTACATGTACACACACACACACACACACACACACACACACACGTCAAGACACTTATTAGCTACAATCACACACACGTCAAGACACTTATTAGCTACAATGCAGCATCTCAGGGAGTTTTCAGCTTTAGTTTGCTGTGTATTATGAATCTGATGATATCTACTTTATAGATGAATGCACTCACCAATGATGAGTCCTATTTCACAGTACTGGTCATCAAACCCGCAGGTCATCATGGTTGCTACAGTGTCGTTAACCATGGCCAACACCTCTACATCCATACCCTACAGAGTGATACACCAAGGCTATAAGGTTTAAGTAACATCAACTACAGTGCAGTTTTTGTATACTGAATGAAGTGTTTCAGAGGAAGTGCAGTAAGCTCTAAGGGATGACAAGTGGGTAAGATTTTTTTCAATCCCACAACCCCACCTTAAGAACATACGCACACACACACAAAACCACTGAGCAAATAGCTAACATGTAGATGCATACAAAATGTCATGAAAACTTGGTTGTCTAATTTATTGGCTAGCGTCGTCGTCAAAATTAAGTTTCTTTAGACAGGATCAGTTACATGTCTGGAATAAGTTCCTCATCAAAAGTCATGTACCTTTAAAGGCCTGTCTGATAAATGAAAAATAGTCTGCGGGTCATACATTTAAAGTAATAGTAGCCTATGTGTAAAGCAACGAATACGGGTGTCCTACCCCAGTTCTGTCAATAGCGTCTCTGAGGGCCTGGACCACATTTTTACCCTGAAGGCCTCGCACCCGGTAGTTCTTACTCCAGTTCAACAATAATCCCTGAGAAGAAAGAAAGAAAAATAATAACAAAGAGTAACATATACTGCAGGTGCAGGCCATGAAAACCAGACGGATTAATATAGAGTGTCATTACCTGATCCAAGGTGGACTGTTCACAGGGGAAAGAGAAAGTGAAGGCCAGAGGATGTTTCTTCTCCAAACTGATGTTCTTCTCATGCAGAAAGTTCTTCAGAGACTCTGACACATGGTCAAATAGCTACAGACAGAGAGGGAGAGCGGCAAGAAAGACAGTCAAGGAGAAGGTGGAGAAGGCTGAAAATCTGTTACCATTATTAACTCCCTCTCTGTTGTTACACCCTCCTCAAACCCCCTACTTCTGCTACCTTCCTTGTCCAAACTCCTCAAATCCATGCAGCTCCTTCATGCCTTTTCTATTCCTCTGCTTTTCATTGTCCATGTCCTCTGTCTCCTCCTCTCCTACATACCTCTGTTCCTCTCCCAATGAGTAGATCTTTAGGTATTGGGTAGGTCTTCTCCTCCATCTCCACTCCTCCCTTCCTAATGCCCATGCCCTCTCTCACTTTCACTTGGAGCACCTTAAACCTGGAGCCTCCAAGATCCAACGCCAGAAACTGTCCTTTCTCTGCAGGAGTGAAGGAGAGGGAAAAAAGTACATTATCTGTATCGCTGTACAGTCCCCTCCAAAATTATTGGAACGGTCAGGCAAATTCCTTTGTTTTTGTTTTTCACTGAAGACATTTGGGTTTAAGATGAGCATGAGACAAGAGTTCAGAATTTCAGCTTTTATTTCCTGGTATTCACATCTAGATGTGTTAAACAACTCAGGACATACCACCCTTTGTTTGAACCCACCCATTTTTCAAGTGATCAAAACTATTGGAACATGTGACTGACAGATGTTTCTTGTTGCCCAGATGTTGCCTTTTAGGCTGATTGTCCAAACATTAAATAGCTCTGCATGACCAGACTAAGTTTTCATCCTTGGTTCAAACCTATAAAGACTGCATTTCCTGTTAAAGAGGATAAACCAACACAAAGGCCAGAGAGCTGTCTATGGGAGAAAAGCAAGCCATTGTCAAGCTGAGAAAAGAAGGAAAATCGACCAAAGCCATTGGACAAACATTGGACATAGCAAGCACAACAATTTGGAATGTCCTGAAAAAGAAAGAAACTACTGGTGTGCTGAGCAACAGACGTCCAACAGGTAACAGGTAATTCCAAAGGAATTTGCCTTACTGTTCCAATACTATTGTTGGGGACTGTATGTATGTATATACAGTATGCAGGTAATATATGTTTCAAAAGCCTAAAAAGTTAACTAATGTGAGTAACCTGATCCATCAGGAGTAGAACGGACATGTGTCGGCAGCATCTTCACCGCTGCTGCGGCGTTACTTTCCGATGAAAGGCCCTTCCTCATTTCAGCAAGGAAACGAGCGGAGATGTCTCTTAGCTGGTCGTCATGGAGGCGCATGGCGTGAAGAAATCTGTCCACCTAAACAAAACAAAAAAATGAAACATGAGACACATAAAACAGAGAGCAAACACTGAGGCAAAGGTAAATGAGCCATAGTGATTTATTTTCCACTGACTGGAAGTCTCAGGGAGATACTGAGAACAGAGAGGAGAGGATGTCAGTGGAAATTTCCTTCTGTCTTCTACATCTAAAGCAGTTTTAACTTCCCAAGACAAAGTAATAAAATTATAGAACATTGTTGGGTCAGGGTCACATGGTATAATATCCACATTATGTAATACAATAATATATAATCGAATCTATTTGATTATAGATTATGTAATGCTATTTTTTTCCCAGAAAGTTAATGTGTGGCAGTATTAAATTTTGCCACAAAATTGGTAGCAGCATGACTGAAACATGTATCAAAAAGCCTTTGCTGCCCTGTATATAAATAAATGAATAGAATTTCTCACTGTGGTAACATGTTTAGGGGACAAGGTCTGTCTGGCCGTGCACCTGGCTGGGTGCCGCTCTGTATTTGTGTTGTATTTGTGAGTGTGCGCAGTGTTCATTACGGGTGTGTCAATACTTTGTCCCTGGGAGTGTGTGTATGTTGATCTCGTCTGCACTGTAAGTAGTGACACTGTCAGGGAAAGATGTTAATAATTGCTCTGGAAAAGACAGATGGTGACATTGTAGCTAATGATTAAAGCACTTTGATCATCTTATTATAGCACTGCCTACTGCAGGATCTTTTGGAGTGGGTAAAGATAGCTGTGGGCACATCTGTAAAAAAGGTCAAGTGGTGGACACAAATATCGATAGTTTGTCTTTTTTAAAAATCCTTTTCTGATAAATCCTGCCAAAATTTCCCACAGAGAATGATGCAGTACTACATTAGAGCAAGTATTATTATTATTATAACCTTTACGTAACCAGGAGAGTCCCAGTGAGATTAAAAATCTTTTTTTCAAGGGGCTGAGACAGGCAGCAGCATAAATACAAACACATAGGTACAGACAGACAACACATACGAAGACAGGCATTAGGAACTCACATTTCCAAAATTAGAGTAAGTTCGAGTCAGCTTCAGGTAAATTAAAAACATTAACATCTTAAGGAATCTGCATCTAATGAATGGATTTAAAAGCATTTAACGAGATTCATTCATTGAGTTTCAAGTCATTTTGCTACGTATTCCATGATGAGGGTGCTGAATACACAAATGCCCATTTTCCAATTTGGGTATTTGGGACAGAAAACATAAAGAAATCCTGACAAACCAAATAGTATTACTAAAAAGAGAAGTACAGGTTTTACTTTTTAAAATAAGTCTAATAAAAAGTTTTGTTGAACTTAGTAACTTAGAACTTGAACTGAAATAAATGCTGTAGCAACCAGTGAAATCCAACTGGTGTCATTGCCAATCTCATAATGCCTCTTCTGAATCAGATTGCCTTTTGAAATTTGTCTCTTTAATGCTGAGAATTACTGCTACTGGAACAAAAGTTAAGTTAAAGTTGTGTGTATCATGTAACACTGTGGAGTAGCGCTTACCTTCTTTGTGGGGTCCTCCTGGAGTTTGGAGAAAAAGAAGGAAACAAGATGAACAGCCAACATCTTGATGTACAACACACCACCACGAAAACGTTTGTTAACGAGTTCCTCTGTCACGGTACAAGAAATGTTGATGAAAAAGACATTCAGCGTGTCCACATTTTAAGATAGAAGATTCTTTCCTCCGGTCCAACTCTGATAGTCTTGTCCACTTCCCTCCACTGAGCAGAGATCAACCTCAGCCCTAACTTACTGATTAACAACAAGCCAACCCCCTTTCCCCCGTCATTCCCTCCAATCTTTCTGTCTTATCACCCAACCCTGTCTTCTCTTTAGTTTCATTTAGTGTCTCTGGTGAGTTACACTAGACCATTATTGAAGTTCTGCAGAAACCTCAGATCACTGGAAAATTAGTAATTCTTTGACTTTCATCTGTTAATGATTCCAAATTAAAACAAAATAAGTAAAAACTGTATATTGTAGGAATGTTGAGATAGATAGACAAATTAAACAAGAAGGTTAGGGTGTTCTAACACTAAGAATAAGGTAACAACTTACAAGCAGCAGCCCAACAATGGGCCACTCATTACAAACTCATGCTGTGCTCTTAACCATTGTACAAACCCACAGAACCTTTTTTAAATTCTAGTGGAGAGTTTCCAAAAATATTAAATATATGCATCTGAAATGTTCAGTTTAAAATAGTGTTCAAGACATCCAGAATATTTCTATTAGATGGAATGAAAAGTCAGAATAAGCTGATAAACAATATTTATGATACTGTGGAATAAGATGGATTTAATGACATAAAGGAAAACAAAAGCAATGAAGTTGATATGTACTGTACAGGCAGGTACGTCTGCCACACTCTTAATTATTTTTTAATTCCAGCGTTTGCCTGATGTCTCTTGTTACTGCCTGTTGTGAGCTGCACAAAAAAATATAAACATGAAATCAAGACAGTTAAGACGTAGATTTTTAATTAACTAAATATACACAAGAAAAAATATGGTATCTCATCGGTATATAGATACTAACAGGCCTGCGCTCAATTCAGTCTACTCAAACTGTTTACAGAAACTGCAGTTAATTTTCCCTATATCATATTCATGCGGAGTTTTTACATTTGAGTATACTGAGCAGATTGAAAGTAAACTGATTCCAGACCTGCGTAACACTAACATACAAAGTGTAAATTTTAAAATGTTTTCTGATCACAAAGCTTCTGAAACAGCCTTCATGACTCTGTGACTCTGCGCTGAAACATTGTGGTAAACCAGGTGGCTTATCCATTTGCAAGATAGAACTGTGGGCTAGAAGCTCAGGCAGGACATGAACGCACCCACAATAACCCTCAGCAATGGGTCTATTTCTTGTAAGCCAAATCCAGGTGAGGTCAGTATAATTTGTTAAGCTAATTTGAGCGTTTTAAATTAGTTTCCAAGGTCAATCTGTGAGGTACTTTATGCTCCCACTGAAGTGGGAGAATACAGTACAAACCTTTAGAGCAATAAAAAATAAAAATAAAATTCACACGGAAACACTGAATGACCCAGTACGCTTGTGTAAAACTCAGTCCAATCAAACATGACTCTTTCGTTCAAACTACATTTTGGTGTTTTTATTTTTTTTATAGTTTGACCTAAAAGCTTTTGTGATCCCTCCAGAGCTGGAAATGTACGCAGATCCTTTTTGACTGCTTCAAAATGTGATGGATTTCAATCAAACCACCAGATATTATCCAAGGTTTGTATCGGTAATTGAGCTCCACCAGAACAGCAGCAACCAACACATTCCTCTTCATTTCTTCTTCTTTTTCCTTTTCCCTTTGTTGTTATTATTGGGATGTTCTGTATCGAGTGCACTCTGATAGGTGAATTCCTGCTTTTGATCTTTAGACCACTCACTCTGCAGCTGCCGGAGCAAATCAGGAGTCAACAGCCCGTCTCTCACCAGGCGACTAGCCAGAGAGCTGTCCATCAACTCTCCTGAGCCTCTTTGTCCCCTTTGACCTTTGCTAGTCAAATTATTACTGCTGGCAGTGCCACTATTACCACGCCTGATACCCTGTGTCTGTAGTGGATCAGTGATGGTTGTGTCAGTGGCTCTTATGAGACGTGTGATATTACGGACGCCCTGTTGAATGATGTCATCAAGTTCCCGCTGGATTTCTCGAACCAAAGCTGTGTCTGGAAACATGTCCATGAAACGGTAGCTACAGATGGACAGAGAGATCAACAGCAACATTAGTAGGCAAGCAATGACAAGCAGAGTCGGCTGCAGGACTATAATAATAATAATAATAGTTTTCTTTGTATAAAACTTTGCAATACAACTAACAAAGTGCTTTACAACAATCAATGTAAAAAACACACAAGTCAAAATAACATAAGAGACAACTAAAAATAGGCATCACACAGTGTGTCTATACGAGCCTGACCTCTGGCAGATTGTTTTAGAGAGTAGGGGCCCTGGCAGCAAAGGCCCTGTCTCCTTTGGTTTTCTGTCTAGACCTTCGAATGGCTTGTAACGCCCTACCAGAGGATCTTCATCCAGGCTCAAAAAGGGGTTAGCCTGTGCCTGGCATTAAAAGTAATTAGAACAATTTTAAAATCAATGCTAAAAAGAAACAGGCAGCCAGCACGGGGATGCTACAACTGGGGAAATATGGTCAAAATATTTGGAATGCATAAATAGCTGCAGCATTTTAGACTAACTGCGATGGACTGAGTTCTAACTGAGACAGGTTTATAGGGACGTACAGTAGTTGAGGCGGGAGGAGATTAAAGTATAGATGATTTTCTCTAGATCTGTGGCTGACATAAAATTATTCTCAAAAACATGACTGAACAACTTTTTTTCCTTTTATTACTTTCTGTTTTCAGGGGGACCAAGTACAATGATGTGAGATTGTTTAAAGTATAATTGGAGAACAGCTGTGTGACATCCAGTATTTTATTCCAGCAAGTCAGTTGTTGAAGGTTGCTATGTTAGACTGGTCGCTAGGTCTAATTGGAATACAGAGCTGTGTGTCATCGGCGTAACAGTGAAACTGGACATTATATTAGCGGAATATTGCAGAGAATATAACCCTGGGGGACACCATAGAGCCTGTTCATGGGAATGAGACTGAGCCAGCCAAAAGAAAAAAGTAATGTTACACTGTTAAGAAGAGCTAGGAGAAAGAAGTATGAGGTGAAGATGCTCAGCCTTATTTCAACAGTGATAGTGTTGCAAATAGATGACTACAAAAAATAATCTCATTAGCATGACAGGTAGAAGTAGTGGAAATTTAACATTACCTTAACCAGAGGTAAAGATCTAACACATCATGAACAGCTTCCAAGTGAACCAGGTCTTTTATGTTTTTGGGTGGAGCCAGAGGCCAGTTGACATGACGACAGACCCAGTCAAATGTCAGGGGCTCATCTCGACTGAACTGACGGGCAAACTGAAAGAGAAACAAGATTCAACTCAATGCAACAAAGCTGAAAGTACAGGGGTCTCATTTATAAAACGTATAAAAACAGTATTAAAAGATATAATTAAAAACTACTGACACAGTTATCTTGTATTTCACAGTTTACTTACAGGTGCTCACACTCTCCCATCAATTTTGTTTTATAGATCACAAATTGGGAAGTGGCGTCTGCCTCTTTCAGGCGCCCGTTTTGAGGGTACGCAACGGTTCTAATTAGACCCCTAGACAGTATGCAATGCTTAACAAAATGGAAGGAAATATGCTGAAACATTGTCTTGGTCAGTATCATATTATGATCATTAATATTAAATTAATTTATTATTACTGTATTAAACTAATGAAATATTTTGCTATGCATTTACATCACAAGCTTCTCGACCGGTCTACAAGCAAGAGTTTTCCTCGCACACATTGTCCTCTTCCTTCCACTGAGTCCACTGAGCAGAGACCAACCTCAGCCCTAATTTACTGATTAACACACCAGTGTTAGAAGTTACAACTTGATTCTGAATCTCAAAGGTTACTTGTTGAGGACAATAACTTAAGTCTGGAGATAATCTTGTTTTATCAGTACAATATAACCATAAAGTGAGAGCAAAAGTACAGTGCCTATAAAAACACCTCCTTGGACTGTTTTTATATTAAATCTGTTTACAGTACTGAATCATTTTATTTAAAAAATTAAAATTGGTTGTGTCAATTGTTTGGATGAATTTAGGAGATTAAATGTCAGATCAAATATTTAGTTTATTCTTTCACCCAACCCAATCACTGCTGTTACTATTAATGAATCATTTTTAGTTTCTCCCTACTTCCCCCTGACACTCCTGCTCATCAACCCTTCACTCGTTTCTTCCTTATCTCCCTCCATTTACTTCCTTTCATCTCGTGCTGTCTTCCCATGTTTACTCCTACTCACCTTTAGGAAAGAGGTGCATACAAAAGGTTGTTTCTTGTTGATGGGAGCAGTACAGAAGACGTAGCGTGACCTCAGGTTGAGTGGGATGTGCTGAATCATGTCAGCCAGAAACTTGAAGTCGTCAATGTTGCAGACAAAATACACACCGTCTACCCGAGAGAGGCTAACAAATATGTCCTGGGAGAAAGAAAGAGACGAGTCCCAAAGTCTGTCAGGATGAGAAGATGAAGCTACAGTGTGCAAGTGATAAACTAGATGATTTTAAGAGTGCTGGGCTTTCAGCTGGGCTTGAGTATCTTTCTTTTGCAGATGTAATAGTCAGAATTTAGTTTTCTTGGCACTAATTAGCATTCTTACTGACCACATTCGGGTATACATATCTGAACAGCTTTGTTTTAAAACAACACCTAAAAGAATTCAGGCTGTTCTGGGGACCCACTGCTGGAGAGAAATATTTACGCTCCAACTGAACTGTTGGAGGTCGAGTTGCATTGTAGGTAATGTAGGTGCCAGGTTTTGAGAAGGAAGAAGAATGCGTGGAATAAAAAGGTGATCTCTCTGGTTGTGCTGCATCGCAGACTGTCAATCATGAGTCCATTGTAAGGTTATAGGAGTGCAATTCTAAATTGGTGGAGTATTTTTTCAAGGCCCAGAAATGCAGCTAAAAGCTCTGAAAGAAATCTAGTTAAGTGGACCATGAGTTTTTTTTCAAGCTACGGTTTCCAAGGTCAATAATTAACCTTCAAGCTCAAGATACACTAATAATGTGAACACTGTGTGTACAGCACCCTTCGCTCTTTCAGTCTCATGGCCATTACTTTGTCCCACCTTTCCAACTCAATGTGATTCTTTATCACACACTGTTGCTTTCATACTAAATAAAGAGGCAGGAGGATGAATGAACGGATGGCTATACTCACAACAAGGTTTGACAGTGTAGCATCAGGTAGATGATAGGCAAACATCTCTATCTGCTCTGCTGTAGGATGGAGACCTGCAGTCTGATACAGAGGAGGAGAGATAAACATCAGGAACACCATATCGTACTGATGGGATGGACAGGGAAGTGACTTAGAGTGTGTGTTTGTGTTTATGCCTGTGTGTAAATGATCACCTCTATGGGTTCTACGGAGTGGCTGAGTATTTCCTTCAGAACAGGCAGATCATCTCTGTGCATGGTGGTCACTTCTCCCTCTTTAAACTTGGAAGAGAACCTGGGAGAGGAGACAGGAGTCACAAACTAAAATGGCTTGTTAATATTGCATCTTCTCTCCCACCTTTCAACCTTCTGAATGGGGTTAATATAAGTAAAAATGAGACTGACCTTCCCGCCCGGCCGGCTATCTGCAGAGCTTGTGATGTGCTGATGGTCTCCATCTGTTTCTCCCCTTTCTCATTAACATTAGGCTTCACCAGACTGTTAAAGATGATACGTTTTATACTCCTGGAGAGAGGAGGGGGTTTCACTGAAGTCATGAAATGGCCTTTTAACATTCTTTTCAAACTATTTTTGAAAGAAAAAGAGGAAAATAACTTGATAATAATACAGTGCGTATGCTGGTACTTACAGGTTAAGGCCCATTCCAATAGCATCTGTAGCAACCAGTATCTTGCAGGGGTCATCGGGGTCATTGAACTTCTTGGCCTGTGACAGCTTGGTGCCTGTAAATCACACAACAACTGAGCTTGATCTCTTTCACGCTGTCTGAAGCTTTATTTACAAAAGTTTCAATCATATGAAAAGTTCTATTAGTTGGTAAAATATCTGTTTTTATACTTTTTTGATTCTCATTGTAATTAACATGCAGATGGCTCAAGGATGGAAACACAAATTCATAGAAGGGCATAAAGCATTTTTTTTTTATCTTTATCTTTGCAGCTAACCTTGAAGCCGTCATTAGGCCTGAAGACCAAGTTAACATATTTGGTCTTTTCCTTACATATAAACATACATTTATCTATACATCCTCCTAAAACCCACTCACAAACTCACCTGGAGGTAAGCTCCCATAAATTACAGCACATTGTAGTCCTCTGGCCTCAATCTGCCTGCTGATGGAGTAGATGTCGTTTTTACTGAAGCAGACAACACAGTCTCCCGGGCTCAAGTTGTCTAATGACTCCACAGCATGGTCCAAGATTTTGAATGGAGTTAAACGCTTGTAGGTGTGGACCTTAAGAGAGAGAAACAAATGGAGGAACAGAGAGAGGAGGGAGAGTGTTTAAGACAGGGATTGAAAAAAAAAAAAGTGACATTTCTTGCTGTACTATGTATTAATGACTCACCTCCACCTCCTCTCCAGTGGTGTACATCAGCTCTCTGATAAAGTCTATGGCTGCAGGTTCCCCGCAGACATGGATCTCCTCTGCACAGAGACCTACACAAATCCAACAAAAAAGTCAACTGCCAAAGTGGGAAACATAATCAAAATAAACGATATAAATCACAAGAACAAAGAAAAAAACTAACATCCAAAATGTCTGTACATTAGGGATTTTGGAGGCGACCATGTAGGTATTTTGACAAAAAATGTTACGTTTGTGTTGTAACATAACAAAACACAAGGTTTAAAAGATGTTCCTTATCATAGCATATCATGAATTTTAATGAAAGTCTGAGTTTAATTAACTGAATGGTAAAAGAAAGTTTAAGAAGATGCTCAACATTAATGTAGCCTTGGGCCAAATGAATCATTGGGTGAGATAGAGACATAATGTCCAAGTAAGTGCAAGAACTCGTGTGAGTGTTTCTGAGTGTGTGTTACAAACCCAGCAGTGCTCTGGTCCAGGCCCAGCCTCTGGAAGGATCTCTGATCATTTGAATTTCATCGATTACAGCCACCTCATCTAAAGACAGACATATAAGACATCGCAGTGTTAATCAAATTAACAAAACATAATTTACATCAGTGCCTAATTTTCTTATCTTTGATCTAACAGAAGACACATTTTGATTCAAGTGAGAAATCAAGTGAGGAAGAGATTTTCTAACTCAAAAGTTTGGCTGATGAATTTATTTTTAATATCAGCACATCATAGCAAGACAAGCTGAGACAGAACTGTGCTAGTGACAAAACATTGCTGGTACTTGAAATGTCACAGGAAAAACGCACAAATTAACCACTGGTAAATAAATATTATGATAAATTTATAGATAGTAGTAAAGTAGATATGTCCATACAAACACAACATTCATTTCATCTTATTTCTTGTGACCAAAAGATTGATTTAGTTGATACGATTAAATAAGATTAATTAACAGTTTGTATGCGTTATGTTTACTTACAAGGCGTTGTGACACTGCACATCTCAATGGTGCAGGCCACATGACCAGCTGCTCGACCCTCCGAGTCCATGAAGGTCCTCTCCTCTCCAGTAACCAAGTCACATGTCACACCCTGCGAATACAGTACGGTATGGTGAGGAAGAGATAAAAGATGACATCTTAAAAATACTCACGGAGACTGGAAACCGAAAGGACAGGATAGGCACTGCGAGATAAAGACATTAACATACATTGAACAAAATTATAAGTGCAACACTTTTGTGTTGTTGAGTTTATAATTTTGTTCAGTGTACAAGACAGAAAACAATAATTAAGAGTACAACTCCACTGATTTATTATTGATTACGCTCCTTTAACAATATCTGACTTGTTTTTTCTTTTTTTTAGGACAGAACACAAAAGATACATACGGCAGTGTTGCTCTTCTCAAAGATCTCGTGGGCCAGCAGTTTCAGGGGGCCACAGTAGACTCCAGATTTAGCAGCCAGGTAGCGCTGGATGGCGTGGTAGGTTTTACCACTGTTAGTGGGACCAGCATGGAAAATCACCTTCCTCTGGATTGCTCGAGCCTCAGGGTACCTTATGAATACAAACACAAATATTTCAACCACATAATTATAGATGATGACTGAAATCTACAACCATTAAATTAAAAGGCGTGAACCACGGTTGGCACCAGACTGCTAACTCCAATATCAGTTGTATAAACAGCACATACCAGTTAGCAGGGACTCTGAGGTCTGAGATCTTTCTCAGGTCATCCATACAGTCCAGCATTGGAAAGATTTGCTTGGCATGACGCATAAAGTATGGGTAGACGTCATCTATATGACCTAGAGTACAACAGAAATTAAAGTCAAATAAAGTTATACTTTAATTTTGTCTACTGACACAACACAATCTTTAGGTTTAATTAAAAACCAACAAACCTGCTCCATAGCTGATGTCACTAAGGATGATGTGCAGATCGGCAGGGAGTGATGCCATTTCCAGGACATACTTCCTGAAACTAATGAAGGCCTGGTGGAACAGGCGAGCTGTGTACACACACACACAAAGACACATAAGGCTTGCCATATACAAAGCATGCTGGTTAGATTTCTGTCTGTCTTGCTCCTGAATGACTGCAGCATCATTCTGACATCAACTCCGATAACTTCACAAGATCAAGACAGCTGCAGTTTCCATGGCCAACTGACACAGCTGCTCTCCACCGGGAGCAGGACGTCGTTGGCTCAAATGAGTGACCAACACTATGTTTCATAGAAACTCTTCACTTTTTGTTCAATTGTGAAGGTTCTGATTCCATTAGACTTTGTTTGTACTATGAAGGTTTATTCTGTCTGATATCGATAATTATCAGGCTAAATGTCAAATCATTATTTCTCTCAAGTTTAAAGGCTGATTTTAATAAGTTGAAAAAAAAAAAACTATTTTTTAAGGCTAGAACATGAAAAACACTTGATGCCAAACAGTGGATCACTAAACAAATCTGAGGTAGAACATTCAAAACAATTATACTATAAAATCGTTTAATCAACCAATATGCATCAGTAAAATTAGGTAAAATCTTTTTTCAACAACATAAATCTTGATAGAAAATTAAGCACTAATTCATTCGTGACTCAAATGAATCAAATCAAACATTTATTGCACATTTGTTATATTGTTGTAGAGGAAGATAGCGTGATAATTATCATTATTGTTTTATTCCCCAGCCCTACAGTGTATTGATAACTGTGAATGAATTTCCCACCATCCAGGCCATGATCTGCTGCCAACTTCTGCATCTCCTTCCTCTTATAAAATCGGTTCAGGACTTTCAGCAGTTCACCTAAGTCGCAGACACAAACAGCAGAGAGGCATTAGAAACACAAAGAAAAAGTACTTTTACTTACTATAATTTACAGAGAGCAAACATTACACACATATCAGATAGCCTTGGCACACGAAATAAAATCTGACAGCAACAGAATGAGTTAATGATCACCTCGTTTTCTGAAGTGCGACATAATTCCTCAGACTTACAGGTATTTCACATTTAAATTCAGAGACGAGCTCAGGTGAATTTACTCACTTTTATCGAGCGGCTGGGTCAGCTCTGCTCCCACACCCCCGTCCACCGAGGAGTCGGTCTTCAGAGAGACGGGGACAAACAGAGACGTGTCCGGAGGTTTTGGAGAAGAGCTGTTGGATGAAACATTTCTGCTGCAAGCCACGGAAGCAGCCTGATGTTGTTTATGTAACAAACCAGACCCAGAAGACACATGACAGCTGCCAGCGGTGGTGCGGGCAGCCCGCGTGCCAATGTGGCGTTGAAACCGAGAAAACAGGTACACACACCGGTTTACCGACATCGCTGCGAGGGGTTTATCCCCAGGATGTTAACACCTTCTGCGGGCTACGTTCAAAAACGGTGCAACTGTCGCTCCATGTTGTTCAACACCTCTGAACATGTGAATTACAGTCAGAGGACAGTCAACACAACTCTCTTCCTGCTAATCCAACGTGGGTCAGGACCACTCACTGTGTAGCTGCCCACAAATGTGCCTGTGTTTATATTGAGCGTGAAATTACTTGTATTCAAAACCTAATGGCAGCTATACGCGCTTAAATTAGTGAACATACAAGATAATGTGGCATGGCATTTTGTCTTGTTTTAAACATTGTATAGTAAACGTAGATGGGTAGCAAAGAGGGAAAAATATAAACATGCAAACACACGGACTCATCCATATCTGAAATTGATGATTGTGTCGCCACCAAAATAAAGTCCCGCATTAAGCTTCTGTACATTTCCTTCCTAGAGTACAGACTTAAAAACGACATTTGAAGGTTTCCAATGCCATTCGTTCTCATCAGAAAATACTTTCTATAGACTAGGTCAGTAATTAAAAAGCCTTGAATAAAATGAACGTCTACTATTCAATGTCCATGTCTCTACTATAATTCAAGACAGATGTTGATGTACATTTGAAAAGATTTTGCCATTTACTTTCTTTATTGCCAGGTCAGAATAATAGAAATATTGATGTCATAACTCCAAATTCACCACAGAACTACCTCACACAGGAATGTTTGACTAGCCACCAAACACGTCAATGAAATCATCATATTGCATTCATTTAAATGTGCAGTAATAGCTACTATAAAGTTTTCCACTCTTACATAAATATAATTCTTGTGGAGAAATGCTGAATCTTTTAGGAGCATTGACAAGTGCGTCAGGACGGACACCAAAATGCTAGTGACCGTGGAGCTGATGAATTAAGGTGCTTTCAGCTATGCAGACAGATGCAGAAATAGGAACGGGCTAGAGAAAGAGTTAAAGGCTGAGTTGTGGCAATGGTTATATCAACTGTAGAACTTACCTGAATAGAAATACCTAAAATATTTAAATTGAGGGTGTCAAGTAAGCTTCTCTGAAACCTCTAATACACTTTCTGTAGTCATCCTGAAGAAACTGGGTGTTGTTCAAAAGATATTCAGTATAAATTTGCTTTATTCACGATTCATTTTAGCTATATATTTGGGTTTTGTGTATATACACATATTATCATACACTCACACACGTCGATGGCATGATAAGACACTGTAAAGATTAACATGCAGTAGATAAGACAGGGGCAGAGTTTTGGCATTTAAGTGTATCTTCATCACCTTTGAAGGTATTTAAAGTACACCAAACAGACCCTACCTGTACAGTGTTCAGAAAAACAGAAATATGTCTGACAGGGAAAAATGACTTGCAAATAAATTACACTGTTCCCACACAAAGGAAACCCAGATTGCAATGTCAGCACTTGTGTGAAGGAACAAATACATCTCAACTGTGGAAATGAGGGTTCAGAAGTTCATGAAATGAAACATGTAACATGACAGCATGAAAGTGACAAAAAGCAACTATTATTATAACTTATTAAGTCCAATTAAAGTAAGTAGTGACATATAAATGATAGAATCATTTCCATGACAGACGCAGGAGATCTCTGAGGTGAAGTTGTCCATGAGTGATGTTTAGTTTCAGCTTTCGTGCCCCTTTTTAACAAAGTTAAGCATCGGAGGGGAAAGTGCAAAACTGGCCACAGGTCAGGGCTTAAGGGCAAATTCAACTTACACACAAGACCGGTACCATCACGTGTGTGTGTGTGTGTGTGTGTGTGTCTTTAAAGCAAGACCTAAACTGCCGGTCTGAGCATCACAGTGGAACATTGTTGGATTTTACAGTGTACTGATACTGCATCCCTTCCAGTGCTTACAATTTCAGAAATGAGCCATTTATTAACATTAGTATTCTACTTGTATGGAACAAACAGGCTCAAAAACGCTGAACCCTATGAAAAAGAAAAGGTGGAACCGGCAAGAACAGTGGATTTACAGTGTGCTGATCATGGCTGGCATTGCTTAATTGTTCTATTAAATCATGTCAAATAGAAATGGAAACTGCTACTTGTGAGGTGATGACAACATTCATTTCCATGTATAAGTAGCCAGAAAAATTCAACTCAACTTTCAACCATTTTTAAGCTTTGAATTTTAGAAATACTGAAGTGAGTCAGCTGACACTGGCCCCGACACTGGAACTTAAATGTTCAGTTCACCAAAAATTACAAACAAACATATTTTCTATTTAGCCATATATGTCCTTGTTTTGAGATCTCTCTCCCGGAAATTTCTTCCTCCACCCCAATAAAATGGAAGTCAATGGAATTTCACCTGGGGTGCTCAAAGTACTGAAATTTAACCTTCCATTAATTTTGATTATCCGCTTATCTTGCATGATTTTTTTTTTTTACTTTTTCTTTCTTTTGTAGTTAGGTTGATCTGGCCCTTAAAATAACTTTGGAAGACAAACACCAAAAAGGTTTCTATTCTTAAAGACTAGTCATAAATAAATGGCACTTTAAAGATCAAACAAAATGCCTCGTGCCAGAAAAACATGAATGAATGAAGAAGAGTGAATCTTTAGATACATTTGGAGGCAATTCTGCAGAAACCTGACAGACCTCATCAGTGAAAACAACATAAAATATTCATCTAAACAAAGAGACTGAAATGTTGTTGAGCTGAGGAATCTCTAACAGGCAGAGACTTTGAACATATGATGCTTTTAGAGCTGCAACCATTAGCCTAAAAATGAATTAGTCAACTATTTTGATTATCGATTAATTGTTTGAGACTTTTTTTTAAGGAAGAACTCAAAATATTCTCTGGTTCTACCTTCTCCAAAGTTAGCATTTGATGCGTTTCTCTATATTATGTAACTGTATATTGAATACTTCGGGGTGTCAGACTGCTGGTCAGACAAAACAAGATTTATGTAGATGTCACCTCGGGTCTTGTGACTGACACAATTAACTTTTTTTCTGACATTTTACAGAATAAACGATGAATCAATTGAGAAACTGCAAATGAATCGATAATGAAAATAATCGTTAGTTGCAGCTCTAGATTATTTTATTTTATTAAATCATTTCATTAAATAAATAACATTGAAATGATTATGTCCATTTTGAATAATAAAAATCTTGTATGTATGAAATGAGATGTGGAGTGGAACAGGAAACAAACAGCCACATTAGAATTTGAAATGTAGGATTAAATGTATGTTCAGTTGAACATTTGTTGCACTAAACTCTTAATTTCCCAATTAAGCTGACATCTGCAGGAAAATAGCCGTCTGTGGACTGTTGCATCATACTTAACAATGACCGGGTGGTAGATGGACGAATGAGAGCACAGTGGCTCAGGCATTGTGAATAAACAGCGCAATAAAGAGCGCGTGTGTTGACTCATAGCTTAGCCTCTCATGTCCCTTGTTCAAGTCGATCCCCACACGTCTTGAAAACTTCACTGGCTAGACTCTAGAGAGCGTCATTTTGTAGATGTGGGAGGGAGGATGCCAGAGAAAGTCCAGGATAACGGCTGCCTAAATATGCAAACAAAAGAAGCTTCTGTTGCAAAAGAAAGGGATAAATGGTGTGGCGGTCGTCTGTAGCCAACTCCTCTTTTCCGTATTTGCTCCTGTTTTATTCTGCAAGCTGAGACTGTATGGCTTCACGTGTGTGTGTGTTTTCTGTCTGAGGCGCCAAGATCAAACAGGCTGCCTCACTGTTTCTTACTCGTGTCGTGTTTGATTTACACTCTTGCCTTGACATTTAGCATTCGGCCTACTTGGATTGTATGCTTGTGCGTCTGTATGCGAGTGTGTTTCAGTCCTGGGGGGAGAGAGAGTGATGGTGGTCAGACAGCTCACATCTGAAGCTGCGAAGTGACGAGGGGGCATGTATACAGACATTTCTCAGTCCAGGGAGATAGTGGGGCAGCCCGCACACCTCTGGCTGTTCAGCAGTGAAGAGTTGGGGTGTGTCTGTGTGTGTTTTAAGTTCATAGCATCGCCCTCACATCTCTGGCTGCTCCGCGTTAACTGGCTGGGTTCGGGGCTCAGGCGACTCGTAGCGCTGATGGAAGTTTCTTTTCCTCAGCTTCTCTGGAGCTTTTCTCCACAAAACGATCTCCTGAAGACAGAGAGACAGGAAAGAATAAATGTAGGCTCACGCACAAACTCACTCATTGTTGACTAACCCCACCGCTGCAGAATGTGAGATTTGTTTCTTCTTTCGATGATCGAATCCTTGGCCAAGAAAGAAGAAGAAAAGACCCTCATTACATTAGTCTTGTGACAGATCATGCACAGAAAGTAGGTTAGCTAGTTTACATGCTGCTTTTATCTTGAAGGCCTTTTTTTTGGTGTGGTAATCCGGGCCCTTATTTTGAAGTGATTTTTCAGCTCCAGCCAGATCAGCTCACAGAGCCCTCAGACACATAGACCATTACAGCCAGAGCCCAGCAACTACGGCAGAGTAAAGACCCACAGCTGTATGATAGTTTTAACGTTCGTACCGCTGTTATTCTTTCATTACATTCTGAGTAATTTTGTAAGATTTTAACTTAAATCAAGAGACATCTTGACGATGTACAGAGAAATGGTGATGTGCAAATAAATCTGGTCTTGTGAAACTTCGGAAAAAATTATCAGAAAAAGGAATGAAAGGGGACTGTCTTTGCTTTATTATTATTATTATTATTATTATTATTATTATTATTATAATAATAATATTATATTAGACATTACATTGCTAGTGTACAGTAGAGTTGTGGTCACAGTATTTGCTTTTTATTTGCTTTTATTTTATACAATTTTTTTTTATGTGCAAATATGTCTTGGTAAGTTAAAACCTACAATAAACCTGATTCTGAGCTCGTTTTGGGGGATGAAGCCTGGCTGTTATAATAATTAGAGCAATGCAGGCGGCCTCTGTGCTGGGGGTATCGTCAGCAGCGTTTTGTGTGCTTGTGACACTGCAAGTTTATTCTTCCAAGAACGACTAGCAAGAATGTTCTCCCCAAGAACACAAGTTCTTTGCATTCTTGGTTTTGAGAAACACCCCTGGTCTCTTTGTTATGTGCCCACCACAGACGGTCTGGGCGCTGCACTTCCGCG